ACACACACACACAATGTAGCTAGATTCCAGTTTGCAATGCATAGCCAGGTCTTCAGTATTAGCCTTAATCTGCCTTTACTTAACTCTGAGCAATAAACACTGATGCTATCAGAGTTTTGAAGTCCTAAAGTCCAAATGTTGCTGAGTGGCGCCATTAGGGGGTCAGGGATTGGAAGTAAGGGTGATCGTTTTCATCTTTGCAGACCAAATGGGGGAGGAATGAAGTCAAGTAATAGGAGGTCCTGGCAAGCTTGGGGCAGAATGTGGGAGAGATGCTGGTACAGGATGTGGAGAGCCCCTGGGAACAGGACATAGGCAGTGGGAAAGGTCTTTCACTGAAGCCAGCCATTGCACAGGGAGGGAACAGACTCAGAGAGGAGAACACCATGGCTAGGATGAGTCCCAGCTCCACTGTATGGAGGGGCTGACTGATGGCCAGGATGGCAGCACCAACCTCCCTCCTCAATGGCATGTTTATGGTTACCCAACCGCTTGGTGTCAGCCTTTGTTTTAGCACTGACAGTCCTGAGACGCCCCCCCCCCCCCGTGCCCCAGGAAGAGAGGAGAGAGAGGGGAACAGCACGTGGAGGGCAGGTGCTGCCACGGTGATGGGGACACTCCTTGGAGGAAAACATGGGTGATGCAAGAGGCAGCTTCAAATCGCTCCAGCCTGAACTCGCTAGTCCCCTGCATTGCCTTCTGTCCTTGCTTTTGTTTTCCTGTTGTGTCTCTGTTCTTTGAGATGGAATCTGCCATTGCTCCTCTTTCTAAAAGACTTGCAGGAACAAATGATTCTGGCTACTTCAACTTCCCATGCTCAGTCTGGGCTTAGTGCCCAGAACTAGTTTTTCCTTTCTTTTTCTTTTTAAGTTTTATTTTATTTACCATCAACACAGAACAACCATATATATATATATATATATATATATATATATATATATATATATAATTTATGGAGTACAATACATTCTTTTAATATATATATATACATTGTGTAGTGACAAAATCGGGGATAATTAGCACATTAACAGCTAATCTTCAATCAAGTATTACTTGATCTACTTTTTGAAGGAGAGGGCTCAGAGCTCAGACTAAAGCTGATTTCCTCTGGTCTAGATTTCCTGGGTCTTGAAGGTACCATTGGGTGATTTCTTACATCTGACTGAGCCAATTCCTAGAGACCAGCTCTCAGCAGCCCTGTCTGGTCTGGCAAAGGGCTGCCACTTTAGACAGAGCCAGTTTTACCTTGTGAGGATGGGTTCCACCCGCCATGTTGGTTTCCATCTAGAGGCCCTGAGCTTTTTACTTTCATGGTTTTATCTACACCCCATTGAGGAAATGGCTATTTTTTGGGACAGATTATGGTGATACGAATAAGGAACCTGGGTTTCTGAGCAATTAAGGGCCATTCTTAGAGTCATCAGCTGGTGAGGCAAAGCTGGGAGTTAAAGCTCAGTCTATCCAACCTCCAGGCCTCTGTCAGCAGGAAACTAGGGTGAGGGATGGTGGATCAGGATGGTGGATGATGGAAATGATTCCTACCGACGGGGGAGAATCAAGCAGCCTTGGGGGTCTCCTTTAGCTTGTCCTGATCTGTGGGAGCCTTTGAGACTTGGAATATTTGCAAATGAGCCATAGGCATTGGGCCTCTCTAGTGGAAAGAGGTTTTGGTGGGGGGGGGGGTGTTGGGGCATGGGGCTGGATGGAGCAAAGACCCACTGACAGAGTGGGTATGTTGTATGTTGGAGTTTTAATCTCAACTATCTCTAGCTGTGTGACCTCAGATAGGACATTTGCTCTCTGGATCTCAGTGTTCTCCTCACTACCCTGAAGCTCCATGCTTTCTGAAACTCCTTCCTGCTGAGAGCCTGTGGTTTTAGTCTTAGAGGTTCAGATGTAACCTCAAAAACAGGGAAGAGGAAAACAACTAAGCGGAGCTCTTTGGGAGGGGGCCTGTCTTCAGGAACATACATAAGGTTGGCCCTTAGAGGCGTTAATACACCACACTCCTGAGAGCCCTAGGCCCTCTTCTTGGGAGGCGGGACTTCCTGTCTAGAGGGTCTGTGTTCATTTCTTTCCACTTCCCCCCCCAGGGCCACTCTACCCCCCTTCCCCACACTCAGAGGAAATGCTAAAACATTGAAGAGCAGGTACTGCAAGGAATTGACAAGTCAGAGCAGTCATGGCTGTGAATAGCTGGTATAAGACAGAACCAGGGGCTGGGAAGGTGGCTCAGTGGTAGAGCGCTTGCCTTGCATTCCTGAGACCCTGGGTTCAATTCCTCAGCACCACATAAGCAAAAAAACGAAAAAAGCCGGAAGTGGCTCTGTGGCTCAAGTGGTAGGGCGCTAGCCTTGAGCTGAAGAGCTGAGGGACAGTGCCCAGGCCCAGAGTTCAGGCCCCATGATCGGACCCCCCACTCCCCCCCCAAAAAAAAGAAAAAAGACAGAACCAGGACACGCCAGCCATCATTTACCTTCGATTCCTCCTGGCAAAGAAGGCTGAGGAGGGAGAATAGGGGTGGGGACAAGAGAGTAAGGGAATAAAGGCAGAAAGAGGGGATCACAGGCCCTCCTAGACCCAGCCCATCCCTTCTGGAGTCCCACCGTGCTGCCTGTCCAGGCTCCCTGTGGCCCCCGTGAGCTTCCTGTGCCCTGGACCCTACCCAGTCAGCCTCCCACTGCATTTTGGAGGCTAATGAAGCAAAGGGGATTCACTCTGTGTTTGCACCATGGGACAAGGAACCCCTAGCCTGCCTGCCTGCCTGCCTGCCTGCTGACTGGGTGCTGTGGGAAGCCATCACCAGGATTTGTCTAACCAACACGTGACCTTGGCTGCCAATTCCCACCAAAAACCCCCAAGTCTCCTTGTCTTCTGTTTTTCTCTGTTTTTGTTTTTTTCTACCAGGAATTAGGATTGCTGTTTATCTTCCCCATGTTTCTCCAGCCTTGGAGACTGCCCTCCCTACAAAGGTTTCTAAGTACCTATCAACTTCAAGGACTTAGAAATTTCAGTCTGTATTTCCTGGATGTTTAATAAGGACCCTCACATGTGCTGGAAAGGACTCCACCGCTTAGGTCATGTGTCTGTCCTTTTCTGCTTTAGCTTGGTTTTCAGGTAAGGTCTCAAGCTTTTGCCTGGGCTGGCCCTCAGGCCACAGTCCTCCTATCTCTGTCTCCTCAGTAGCTGGGATTAGAAGTGTACACTAACATACCAATCCTCACAAGTTCTTTATTAGCTACTATGTACAGAGTGAGTGCCTGAGGGACAGAAGCTAACCAAAAAACATAACACATCCTTCGATACTACACTGCACTTGAGGCTTGCTGGAGTCTATTTACATGACACCTCAAAGCTTGTAGAAATAAAACTGGACTCAGTAGAAAGCTCTAGAATGATAATTTAAATGAATCATGACTTCTATGAGAGGCCAGATTAAGATCACACTGAAGTTATTAGTTTGACTGTGAAGAGTTGAGAAATAAAGCAGAATTCTGCGGATGTTGTGGAATCCATTAGGAACCACGGATGCCATCTTTTACCTTGCTTTCCTTCTAAGGGAAGAGTCTAGAGCCTAGTTCCAAGGTATTCAACAGATTTAGCATCACTTGTGTTTCACGAGACTTTAGAGAACATGTCTCAGGTTGTCTTTATGGAAAAGGAGAGTTGGGAAAGAGTTGAAAGAGTTGCTACGTGGATTTAGAGCTGGTGTCTGGGCTGTGTCCTCAAGTGTCTGCACACAATTCTGGCATGCCAGAGGGTTATTTTCTTATTGTAATGATCTTTATGTTCTTCTTATAATCAGCAGTGGCATGGGTGACAGCCATGCAGAAATTCTTTCATGATTCGGGTCTTAGAGAAATGGCCGAGGCAAAAATACTCAACAAGGCTAAGAGCAGAAGCTCATATATTTATATCTAAAAAGTTCAAGTCTATATGTATGGGGTGGGAAGAGTCTGGCGGGCAGCTGTGGGAGTAGAATGGTTGTCTTCCTGTTGAAGCTACCTGGGTAGTCTGTAAACATTCTTAGGAGCCAATGGTGTACGATGCTTTGGCCCTTAGGAGGCCTCTGGGCCAGTGGTTGGTGTTAAGCTAGCAGCTGTGCAGCCATGATGTCTGGAGCAATGTTTCTTTTTCTCAAGCTGGTCATGACTGAGCCGGGCTTCTCATATGGCAAGCTCAAAGCCTTAACTTTTTCTGCTCCAATCACTGCCCAACTGTTGGCTGGCTGTCAGTTCTAGTAGCCAGCCAGATCTGTGTCCTCTGTTCTTGGTTGGTGTGGAAAGATGTGGCTCCATTTCCTCCAGTCTGTTGAAGACTTTTCTAATGGTCAGCTCCACCACCCAAGATCCACTCTCTTGATACTTCAGGTGACCTCTCTGAGCATCCGTGGCTTCCTTTTTTGAGATGCTCAAGTGAGCCCTGGCCTTTTAGGTCATATAAATGTCTCTGAGTATGACAGAGTGGGCAGAAACCAAAGCAAGACTCTGAATCCTTCCATCCTCAACCCCTTGGAGGGCCCCTGTTTTAAGAACTGGGCCATAGAATAAGCCTGGTGTTTGTTGTTAGCCAATGTCCACTCTTCCCTCCCCATTAGATAAATACATCATCCCCAGATCACAAAGTGAATCAAGTGAGTCATCAAACCCTGCTGGACACGACTCTCCCAGAGGATAGGAGTCAGAACTCCATCTGCCCCGTCACGAACAGCACCGGGTGATCACTAGATCTGACCACCGAGAAGTCATATGCTGGGAAGACAGTCTTCCTCTCTTCTACGGGGGCTGAGGGGAGGGAATGGGAAAACGTTGTGGTGGGAAGCACTCAAGGGCCTGGTGGGACAGATAAATGATTCCAGGTAGGAGTTGCTTCAGGAAACAGAGAGGCTGAAGAGAAGGGGCCGGGGGTGGCTATGGGGCTGAGGGACGAAGAGGTTCTGAAGGCAGAGCGGCCTCTGTCTGCCGTGCCTGACCACCCATGCTTTCTCTCCCGCTGCCTAGATTGCGATGAGGACCTGAGGCATCTGCCTGCTGACCTGCCCCAGCCCACCATGGCCATGGCCCCCCGTAAGAGGAGCCGCCATGGCGTGGGCCTCCTGTGTTGCTTTGGAAGCAGCGACCTCTCGGAGATGGACCTCCGGGACAGCAGTGCCCTACAGTACATGGAGTTCTCCAGCACCATCCCCAACCCAGAGGAGCTCAATGTCCGCTTTGCGGAGCTGGTGGTGAGTGAGCGCTGGGGATGGGAAGGGGTTGATGATGTTGGATGGACAGGAAGAGTGGGACAGAGGGCAGGGCCTCCTCTCAGAGTTCTTCCTAGGGCTGAGGTGGGCTTCCCAAGACACCTCCACTATGTGGGGGAAACAGAGTCTCTCACTAAGGTGGGCACCATGAAATGGTCCCCCAAAGAGAACATCCACCTCCTACTGCTGTTAAGTTCTAGACCACGTCGTGCCATGCTAAGGGGCTGATCCAAGCTATAGTGAAACAAGGCAGCAAGGAGACTCAAAATATAGAACTTTCACTCCTTTTTCTCTCTTGCTTTCTGGAGCTTGCCCAGGACCTTTTAATTTCAGGGGCAAAATAGTGTCTGTTCTATAGAGAGACACTGGGCGCCTCACTATGGGGGTGAGATTGGCTAGAAAGATAGAAGTCAGAGCACATCCTGGTTCAAGATCTTGGATACTACAGGCCACCATAGCTCTGACATTCACTGGAGCAAGAGATCTTCCCGACTCTGCCATGCCCGGGCAGAACTGCATACCAACTGTGTCTATGAGAAGCTGTGCACGAAACTTCACATTCTCACTACAAGGAGAGAGAGCAGGAAGGATGCGTGGTTCTCCTATTAGGAAGCCTATTGATGAGATAAAGCCTGCACAGCAAAGGAGGTCCCAGACAGGGACACAAGGCCTGCGTCTGGGTATGCACAGCTCTAAGCACAAGTTCATGTCCCAAGAAACTTAAATGCTTATTCATTCTCTTGACAGGCCAGTCGTCAAGCCAATACTGAAATAGTGCTGTGTTTTGGAATGTGTTTTCTTAACTCATATTTGCTAAGAGATGCATCTGGTCAAGGCAATCCAGCCCTTCAGAATACAGGGTCACCAAAAGATGAGGCCATGAAAATTCTATAAGAAAGTTGTCCAACTTCCTCTTCATGTCAAGTTCAGGACAATTCATTGTTTCTGATTTCTACCTTTTTCTGGGCTGGGGTCAAGAAATGAAGTGTTTGCTAGTGTTTAGAATCTGGTTTAGATTCTGATTTAGTGTTTAGTATCAGGGATATTTTCTTGAGTAAAATACATGATTTTTTTTGTTGTTCTGGTCCTGGGGCTTGAACCAAGACTCTAATTTGTTTGTTTGTTTTGCTTAAGGCTGTCTCACTACCACTTGAGCCATACCTCCACTTCTTGCTTTTTGGTAATTCATTGGAGATAACAGTCTCACAGACTTTTCTGTCCAGGCTGACTTCAAATGATGATCCTCAGTCTCAGCCTCCTGAGTAGCTAGGATACTACTGGTTCCTGTTGGTTCTGGGAGTTTTGACTAAGGATATTCTTGGGAGAGGTAGAGAGCGGTTCTGCAAAATCAAACCAACCAACTATAAAAGAAGAAAAAGAAGAAGAAACCCAGCCTTCATTGGGCACAAAATTAGTTCCCAAGGCAGGGGAAGGGATGGACCTTATTTTAAATTGTTGTTTTCCAAATAGCAGCCCCAGAGCACCTGGGGCTATTTTCCTCTCTATACTAAGATGAACTGTAAGTACAGAGTACACACCAGGTTTTGAAGGAATCTTATCTGATAATTTACTTACTGATCATTTTTTACACTTATTATGTGTTGAAATGTTCATATTTTAGTTATATTGGTGGCAATAAAGCATAGTAGTAAAATCGACTTCACCGAGTTCTCCATTATGTTTTTTAAATATGACTAGGAAAACAAGAGTTAAAAAGTACATGTTGCTCATATCCTATTTCTATCTGGCAGTTCTGGTCACTGTGAAAAGTCTTAAATGTTTCTTTGGAGAAAATAGTATAGACTAAAGATGATAGCTACTGAGATTTAAGACCCCCTGCTTCTTTATAGGTTGCTACCATGGTTTATCCTACCTGAAAATGTAATGGTAGTAATATTACACTTTGAGGTCTTAATGTGAGGTTTGCTTTTGCTTTTGCAAAGGCTCACTGCTGAGTTGAAAAACATACTAGGTCCCCCATGGCCTGTAAACTATTTTTTTTTAAATGGGCCATGGAATTGCTCATTATCTACAGGATTAAACGCTGGTTCAAAAAGAGAAGAATTTGGGGAGCAGCCAGTACAGCTAAACCTATAAGGTCACCCCAAACTACCTACAGAGTGACTCTAAGATATGACCAGCCCAGCAGCTCACCAAGTCTTGGGGAGCCCTGAGCTTTGAGGATGCACACTGTCATCTTGGTGGTTCTGCTCCAACAGGCATCACTTCATTCCTCGTGGAATGGCATGACCTTCCTACTCTACTCAGCACCCACTCACCAGCCCCACCAGCCCATGATAAGACCCAAGTGAGGGAGCTGGGGAATTTCTGGGAGAGAGTCTCAAGAGGCTTCAGGGATGAAGCAGGGATCTGGGTGAGGAAGGACCAGAGCTGTAGATTGTGCCTTTCTTCCTCACACCTTGACCTGCGCCGTGGGCAAGATTAGCTAAGACCATGGCAGAAAGACAAGGGACCCTGGGCAAGAAGATGAGGGAACAGCAAGGCCATGCCTAAGGGCAGCGGATAAGGTGGCCCAGAGGAGCGGGAGCTTGGTGGAGACGTGGTGGCATGGACAGGAAGTAAGGGATCATGGGTAGAAGAAGCGCAGGTTTGGTTGAGGCCGTGACCTGTGTGATGCTCTTCCGGAGGAAGATGGCAGGCCGAGGGGCAGGGTTGGAGGCTCGCAATTTCCTGTGGGGTTGAGTATTCTGATCTCAAGCATCCTTGGGGTTCAGACAGGTTTCTTGCTGTTGTCTTTGCAGGATGAATTGGATCTCACAGACAAGAACCGGGAGGCTGTGTTTGCACTGCCGCCTGAGAAGAAATGGCAGATCTACTGCAGCAAGAAGAAGGTGCCCTTCTGACCACTTGCCTCCTCCCTCCCTCCTTCACTTGACCCCTCCCTCCCCCTGTTGTCATGCTGATCCGCCCTTACTGTCTTTCCTGTTCCAGGAGCAGGAGGACCCCAACAAGCTGGCGACCAGCTGGCCAGACTATTACATTGAACGCATCAACTCCATGGCCGCGGTGAGTCCTGCTCCTCTACTGCCCCAGCTACCCCAGTCCATGGGGGGAGGGGAGCGCGAGCCCTCCACCCAACTGCACTTGTACCTCATTCCCTGGGTCTCAGCAGCTCTCCAGTGCTGCTGTTGTGATGATCCACCTTTCCTTTCAATGGTGGGGGTGGGGGTGGCGGTGTGGACTCACAATCCAGCCCAGGCAGGAAAGCCTGTGAGACTCATCTCCAAGAAACTATCAAAAATGACATAGTGGAGCTGTGGCTCATGGAAGAGTGCTAGCCTGGAGCAAAGAGGCTCAAGGACAGTGCCTGGGCCCCGAGTTCAAGCCCCAGGACTGGCGGGCACACACACACATACACATACATCTGGACATCCCATAGTCATTCTCAATAGGCCACTGAGACTCCCCATTTCACAGATGGGGAGACCTTGTGTCTCTCAGAGTCTGACTCTGTCCTAGTAAATCATTCTTGTGGCCTCGCCCTCCCTGAGCAAGGGTGACCCTAGAGTCACATCTGGGTTTGGAGTGCATACAGCGGATGGAGAGTTTGGTGTAACTGCTTCCCTCGCCCACTGGCTGGCCTCAGATACAGAGCCTGTATGCCTATGGTGAAGAGGAGATGGAGATGAGGAACAAAGTTGTGGAGGACCTGAAGACGGCTCTCCGGACGCAGCCCATGAGGTAAAGTCAGGCTGCTTCACCCTTTTTCCCTTCCTTCTGTGTCTCTGCCCAGTGCATCCCTTGACGGAACACAGGGCTCTGTCCCGTGCCGTCTCCTTGGCCAGCTCCACTCCCAGCATTCCCTAGAGCCCACCTCGTCCACTTTACCTTCCAGTTCCTCTTACACTGCTGGGAGGCTGGTGGGGTGGGCAGGAGGGGAGGACAGTAGGGGAGGAGGGAAGATGAACACAGGAAAGTGAATAAACCTCGGGTTCTGAGGAGCTCTCTAAAGAGGAACTGAAGACAGGTACTTGGTGGGGGAGAAAATAGAACAGGAAGTGTATAAGAAAGAACTTCCTGAGGAAGGGAAAGAGCTGAGCGAGCGAGGTGGGCGTGCTTGAGAAATTCTCCTGCCACTAGGGGGAGATGTGGAGCCCCTGGGTGCGATGAAGCCATCTGAAGCAGAAGCCGCGTAAGCAAAGAACAAGGAAAGGGTGGATGGCTGGATGTCCCATAGGCCACCGGAAGACCTTACCCTGTCTTTCCAGACCACAGACTGCAGGGTCCACAGAGGGCCAAGAGACACAAGGGGTTTCGTGTATTTAGCTCTGTCCAGTGTTGTGTTAAATCTTCAGCAGTTTTGCAAACCAGTTGTTCAAGTTAGCTTTGATTAAAATTTAAATTACATGCACCTGATAACTAGGTTATTCTGTAATGATTTAAATTATGTGCACCTGTAGCTGAAAAATTTATATCAAAACAATCTTTTGAAACATATCACTTTCTGACTACCTAATTATTTTTCCAGATTGTGCCATTATATATATATATATATATAAATACATTACTATGAATCATGTTCTTGAGATCACAAACAATGTATGTGCAAGGCAAAGATCCTGTACCATGGTGCATCTCTCTCCCAGTCCATGTCCAATGACATCATTGATAGCTATCAAGGATATTATCCATTCATCACCAAGGCTGTCAATGATAGTGAAAACTTGGGATGATCTGCTAGGAATTATTAACAGTCCTGGTCAGGAAAATGGGTAAACAATACAATCAGGTCTTTTTCATTTCTTTCCCCAGAGGTCTCTGATGTGACATTTATAGCCATCTGCTTTGGGGAGGAGTCTGGTATATATGTGTATAGTCTTGCTCTCAGCTCCAGGAGCCTGAGAACAGACATTATAAGGGACAGGGGCATGTCTATCTCTGTGACCCTGGCTTACAGTGGGGTCAGTCTGAGAAAAAGAGATGGAAAGGCTGAGGTAGCCAAGATGTAAGGGGGTTGAGGAGTGTGGGCAGGCTCATTTCCCACAGCAATTGATGATCCCTTAATAAAATTCTCATCCCAGTGCCATTGTGGAAATTTAGTGGGTTACAGAAAAACATATAATAGAAACAAAAAAAAGATGCTTATTTTTAACTGAATTTGAAAGCATATTCTCTTTGTGTTAGGTATATTTACACAACAATATAAAAGACTTACAGATACATTTCTTCAGTAATTCTATATAATGTTCCCTAAGGTAAATTTATAACAATTTCCTCAGATCATTAATGATCCTACTAACTTAAGGATTCCAAACCCTTTTGTTAAAAAAAAATGTGTATGTATTACCATACACCTGGCACCCGGAGGAAACGTATAGACCACTTGTCAAAAATGATGCTTTAAAAGAATAAAATACATAAAGAGATAAGGTTAAAGAATAAACCAAACTCAATTAAAGTACAGCTGGTGTGTATTAAAAATGCATGAGATAAGCCATAACTGTGCCGCTGTCTTATGCCTGAAGTCGTGAGAACTGGCAGCAGGTCTGATAACTGTTATAATCTTGAAGTACTGATAGGTGTAAATGGCATTCGAGACTCCTGCAACAACTATAATTGGATAGGAAAATAAAGTGATTTCTTTGGGTGAGAAAACTGCAGATTCCGCTAATAACACTGATCTTTATAGCCTACATTCTTCAATGGGAGGCAAATGCTAAATTTCGATGAACGATTATTAAAAGCAAAAATGTAATTTTCTTTTTTCCATCTGAGTCACTGGACGCTGAGTGCTATCTCTAGGCCTGGCAGGGGAGCACAGGACTCAGGTTAAAGAGATCCAGACTAACTACTGCTAGCTTTCCTAAATCCCCTGCAATATAGTTTCCTACTCTGGATTCAGCAATTCTAATAGTTTCCTTGACTAGTCCTTCTTATCATCTAACTAGAATTCTCTGAATGTAGTCTCAATGATCATCTCAATCCGTCTCAATTATTTTTTTTAATATATTGATCTTGAAGATGTGTCTTCGGGCTTACTGGCTGTCATTTATGATCGTTTGTTCACCTACATCCTATTTTAGCTATGCAATCATGGTCAATGATATGCAAATGTCCCGTGTGTTCGCTTACCATCGTTGTGGCCAATTACCTGAGAAAAGCAACCGAAGGCAGAAAAGGTCTATTTTGGCTCACCAAAAGAGAGGGCTGCGGCCACAGTCATGTGACTTGTGTTTCTGGGCCCAAGGTCAGATAGAACATTGTGGATCAGAGGCTGTTCAACTCATGGAGGACCCGAAGCAGAAAGAGACTGAGACACATGGAGTCTAAGACAAGATACGGCCATCAAGGGCCTGGCCACTGTGACCACAGTTTCCTCTAGTTAGGCTCCACCCCCTAACATTTCCAGAACCTTCCACAGCAGTACCACCAGCTGGGGACTCAAACCTTTGGATACAAAAGCCTTTTGGGAGACACTTCATATTCAAACCATAACCCACAGTATTTAAAATGCAGAGAAAATGTAGGTCTTCTAACCGGTGTTGTAAGTTCATTTTATAAGTGAGCTGAACGGTCACTGTAGGTAGGGCCTGGTACACGGTGGTGCACAGGTGAGCGGGGTAACTTTGCAAATACCCATGGAGGGAAATGCCGACGCCGGTTCACTTTTCTGTTGACGGCTCTGGCTGCCAGGTTTGTGACCCGCTTCATCGAGCTGGAGGGCTTGGCCTGTCTGCTGAATTTCCTCCAGAGCATGGACCACGCCACCTGTGAGAGCCGCATCCACACCTCCCTCATCGGCTGCATCAAGGCTCTGATGAACAACTCCCAAGGGCGGGCTCACGTGCTGGCGCAGCCGGAGGCCATCAGCACCATCGCCCAGAGCCTGCGCACAGAGAACAGCAAGACCAAAGTTGCCGTGCTGGAGATCCTGGGTGCTGTGTGCTTGGTACCTGGAGGCCACAAGAAGGTACTGCAGGCCATGCTGCATTACCAGGTGTATGCGGCAGAGCGAACACGCTTCCAGGTGAGGAGCCACCCCCAGTCAGGGTGGGGCCGGGGAAGGGGGGGGATGCCTGGTGAGAGGGAAAGGCTGAGGACGCCTTAAGAAAAACTGAGGGAAAAGGGGACACCATGACAGCTGAACCCCTGCTTGGAGAGCAAGAGAAGACAGGGACCCGAGCGACCGTGCCTCAAAAGACATGAGTAGGCCTCCAGAATTGTGGGTTTGCATGCCAAGATGGGCCTGTGCTCCTTACTAGATGACGGGTTTCTAGAGGCTGGAACATTGGTTCGATTCCATTTTGTGTCTTTACAGCTCTGAGCTTGGTAGGCAGCTCATGACAGGGCTCAGCCAAGAATTATTGACGTAAATGCAATTGCTAGGGTCAAGATTTTAGGCCTCAGGTCTAGGCCGGTGCTTAGTGTGAAGACACTGGGAAATCACATCATGTGACATCTCTTGTCTTCTTTCTGACCGTCCCAGGAAAGTAGAAATGGAATAAACAATACATATAAAGTGTTGTCGGCTGGGTAGCTAGCTCAATGGGTGAGTGCTTGCCTTGCATGCATGAGACCTTGGGTTTGATTCCTCAGCACCACATAAGCAGAAAAAGCCAGAAGTGGTGCTGTGGCTCAAGTGGTAGAGCACTAGGCTTGAGCTGAAGAGTTGAGGGACAGCGCCCAGGCCCAGAGTTCAGGTCCCATAACCTACCAAAAAAAAAAAAAAGTGTCTCAGCACAGTGCCTGCCAGGGTGGGTGTCAGGGTACCAGTGTAGGTGTTTGCTCATTCTGACATCAGACATTTTTGGCTGCCTGCACTATGCAGAAAAAGTGGCCCCTAGCCAAGTGTCGGTGACTCACGCCAATAATCCTAGCTACTCAGGAGGCTGAGATCTGAGAATCACGGTTCAAAGCCAGTCTGGGCAGGAAACTCTGTGAGACTCTTATCTCCAATAAACCACTAGAAAGCTCAAAGTGGAGCTGTGGCTCAAATGGTAGAGCACTAGCCTTGAGCTGAAGAGCTGAGGGAAAGCACTCAGGTCAGAGTTAAAGCCCCACAACCGACCCTGCCCTCCCCCCCCCAAAAAAAATAGTGGCCCCTGATGCTTTGTAAAAGATGCACAGGGTGGCTGTGGAGCTGATGAGCCACACAGAAAACAGCACAGCACTGCCCAGCAATGGACACCAAGCTCTAAGCCAGAGGAGGTTTTCTGTCTGTTTGTTTGTTTGTTTGTGGCATCCGGGAAGTCTGAAAACAGGATTGTGGAGAGAGAGAATGGAGGGGACCTCCATTTGATTTCTCTTCTTTGGGGGGTGAAGTGAATTCACAGACCATGGAATATCAGGAGCTCAGGGGCGGAGGCTGCTCTTGTAAGGTCCGGAGGCTCCCCACAACGACTCCTATCCTGTCTTCCTCTCCAGACTCTGCTGAATGAGCTAGATCGAAGTTTGGGGCAGTATCGGGACGAAGTGAACCTGAAAACGGCCATCATGTCCCTCATCAACGCTGTCCTCAACGCTGGAGCCGGAGAGGTGAGGCTGCTTTGCCCTGCCCTTGCTGCTGCTCCCCGATTCTCAGTCTGGAGTAGGCTAAGTGTGTGAGGCCTTCCTGGCTAAGTGGCAGAGGGAAGGGAGGGGACATCTGGTGGTAGGCCATGCCTGCCGCTGTCATCTCCAGGTTATCTCTTGGGCCTCTTGTCTTCTACACTTTGAGACAGGAAAGAACAGCCTGTCGGGGGGGCTCACTGCTCCGAGGGTAACACCAGGTCCTTAGGACCTGGCCTACTTGTCTTATCAGCAGCTTTCAAAGTGGTGATGATTGCTAACTGGCTTTGTGTCCCACCACATCCTTAAGGGTTTTGTCTAAGCTGGAGGGGGCTTCGTGTGGTTTTCTTCATCCACGTGTGAGTCATGGACAAACCCCCGGAAAGCCTCGCTTGATGATGGCTCAAGATAGTGAGAGATTACTTATGGGAGGAGGGCAACTTGGAGCTCTTCTTTCTAGAGCTTTCTAGAGATGAGCTTTCTGGATTTCTTTCTGGTTGGGCAGGTTATACATTCTTTTAGCACCTTCTGTTAGGTTGTATGGCATCTGATTTCTCTTCTTTGGGGGGTGAAGTGAAATTCATAGACCATGAAGAACTTGAAGATTGAACGAATCTCTCAGATTCTTAAGGCAATCAGATGTCTCCAGCAGAGGGCAACTTGAAGGACAAAAGGGGCAAAGACAGCACATTCATGATCTCTAGTTTCCCTTCTTCTTGGGCAGCAAACTTCTTTTTTCCTTGCATGCAGTCTTGGTGATCTGAGTTATTGAGGTTGGCTGGGGGAATATTCTGTCGTTGAGATGCTCCTACCACCTGGGTTGGGTCAGTACCAGCTGTTTATGGCTGTCATTCCTTCTGATCAGTTGGTATCAGGTAACGTTTGAGAATATCACTTACCTCCATGGGTAAGGAATGGTATGCCTATTTTCCAAATGAGGAAACAAAGGTTTTTGTCAAGACCACAAACCTAGGAAGTAACAGAGCAGGGATTTCAACCAGGTTCCATCTGACTCTTAGCTCCTAAGATGGCACTCTATAGATCCCTCTCTAAAACCGTTCTTTAATGCCAGAGGCTGAGGGAATGCTGGTGAGGGGGCTGCAGGGAAGAGAGGTGGGAAGGCTCAAAGGGGCTGGTCATGGGCTTGCGGTAGAGAAAGAGTCAAGTCAAAGACTATCTTCTGTCCTTCCTGGGAACGTGGGGATGTGAGGAGGAGCGAGTCCACTAGGGATTCGGTGGACATGAAACAGGCCAGCAGGTCTGATTCTCTCTTGGCAATCTCCAGGACAATCTGGAGTTCCGCCTCCATCTCCGGTATGAGTTTCTGATGCTGGGGATACAGCCTGTGATCGACAAACTCCGGCAACATGAGAACGCCATCCTGGACAAGTAAGTCCCGGGCTGCTCAGATGCGTTGCGAGCTTTGGAGACAATGCCTCGGGTGGGGAGGGTCAGGACCTTGGTTTACCAAGGGCTGTTCTTGTCCCTCCTCCCCCACTCCCATGGAGGCCCACAGAATCGGTGCTGTGTAGGGCAAACCTGCTGTTGCCAGTCTTCTTGCAGAGAGGATGTTAAAGACCGGCGAACCCAGTGGTCCTCCATCATGGTGACATTGCCCCCTAGAGGACACTTAGAAATTCATGGAGGTGTTCTTTGGTTGTCACACTTTGGTTGGTTGAGGGGCGGGCACTGTAGGTATTGGTTGCTAGGGATCAGGAATGCTAAACACCTTGCCAGTGCACCCAGTTGGTTATATCCCAGTGGTACAGGTTACTTTTACTACACTGGGTTTTAAGGGAAGGAGGATGGATTGTTTCTAGTTGGAAGGTATTTTGTTGAGAGTTGAAAATGAGAGATTAGCTTTGAGGGCTGACTTGGGACCAGTATGAAGACCCTGAGGATGATGGATGGATCGGGTATAATCCTTGACTGAGAGTGTTTTTACTCCCCAGAGGGCCCCCCACCCCCGAGAAATGCCAGGTGTTTGGGGTATCACATTTGGGGGCAGAGGTTCCACTGGTATCTATTGGGTAGGGCATAGGATGCTGCTTAAACAATCTGCAGCATGTAGGTGGAGCACAATCAAAGCGAACATATCAATGCAGTCCCTCAACGTTGAGAAACACTACAGTGTTTCTGTAGATCTGCAGAGACCTTCCTGAAGAAAGGCCGTAAGATCTCCTAAGGGGAGGGTGTGACCTCCATCAGGCTGCTTCTTCCTCGCCTTGCCTTAGCCTTACCTGAACGAAGCTTCCACATTTAGCTGGTAGAGGGGTGGAAAGGAGTATATCCATCAGCCAAGGCTGTCCTGTTACATCTGCTTCCTCTCCCCCACCCCTGTCCTATCCAGGCACTTAGACTTCTTTGAGATGGTCCGAAATGAGGATGACCTGGAGCTGGCCCGGAGGTTTGACATGGTGAGGACCCCGTGGGGGTGGGCCGATGGCAGTGGGGGGCCAAGGTAGCTCCGCTGTCTGCTCCAGGCCCTGTGTTTGGGTGGAGGTGGAAGGCTTCAGGGTTGGTTAGGTCTCTGGTGAGACCCCAGTGGCCAGATCTTGCTTCTGAAGCTCTGATGTGGTATGCTGGCTCTGGTCCCCTCTCCTGCTGGGTCACAGCTGGTTACCTGCCCCTGAGGCGATTTACTTGGTTGGAAAAATGCCTTTCCTGGGGCTGGCTTTCCAGTGATTTTTCCTGAATCACCTTCCTCCATCCTTAACCACATGGTGCTTCATAAAACAAATTAATATTTCACAGGAGCCTTGGAATCCTAGTAATCCACACCTCTGATGCTTATAAAATATATTAGAAAAATCCTACCCGGACCACAGCCTCCTGGGCAGTGCCTCACACATATAAAACCCCACTCATTTTGTTCTCCCGTACATAGACTTCCAGGTATGGAGGCTAGAGTCATAGAGCACAAATAGCTGGCCACCCAACTAGAGAACACCTTAGTCTACAACCTGGGTGGTGGGCCTGTGTCACAGGTCCCACGTTCTACCACAAGCCACGTGCTAGGCCCAAGGCCGTGTGCTATTTTGAAGCATCTGTGCCCTGTGCTTCCTTCCTTCAGTTTGCAATTGCATTTCTCAGACAGGGATGAATAGTTTTGACTCCCTCCTTCCCCAAGGGCAGACTTGTGAAAGCTGGAGGTATTTCTGGTGATGTCAGTGGGAGGAGAGCTCTTGGCATCTATCAGAGTAGAGACCAAGGATCCCGCTAAACACCCTGCTGGCACTGGACAGCTCCTGCAATAGGGAAACATCTGGCCAAGAAGCCAAGTAGTGCTGAGACAGAGAAACTCTAGTTTATGTAATTAACATCTCTCCCTCCCCTTTTTCTCTGTCTTCCTCCCATGAAGCCCAGGTCACAGGCAGGGGAAGCAAAGGTCTCCTAGGACTGGGTGTCTGAAAACTGTCTTCTCTTCATCTCCTTATTCTTTTCCTCTGCTTCCGGCTCCTCCCCTTCACCGTGTGCTCGGTTCCTCCCTTCCCCCCAGGTCCACATCGACACTAAGAGTGCCTCCCAGATGTTTGAGCTGATCCACAAGAAGCTGAAGCACACGGAGGCCTACCCCTGCCTGCTCTCTGTCTTACACCATTGTCTGCAGATGCCCTGTGAGTACCCTGCACTGGCTGCCACCTAGTACCGGGGCCTGTGTCCTGGTCAGGCAGGTAGAGATGAAATCCTGCAGCTGGTGTGACCACATTCCTCTGTGTTTGCCCTGGGGAGGCCAGGCCCATGACTCAGACTCCTCCCTCCTTGGGATAGGCAGGAGGTCCATGGTCACTCACGGGAGGAGCTGGGAAGAGTCATGGTTGGGAGGGTCTCCCACATGTGTAATGTACTTGATTTTTTTAAGTTTTATCAATTCTCCATCTATTTCTTGCTGACTCCCAACGTTGGTTCCTTTGCCACCGCCTTTCTTTACAGATACCAAATAGCTTCTCATGAGCAAATGGCTAAGTTATTAAGATCCAGTGGCACACTGGGATCCAATCAATGACACATACTTCAGAATGGTTACCCACAATGCAGTTGGAAGTGAGCTTTCATTCCACCACGGATTGGGCACTTTGGCTTTTCTCAAAATAGGATATTTTGAGAATCCTTGTTATCTACCACAATGGCCAGCCTCGTCAGGCTCACCATGGTGTTGATGGCGGTGGTGCTGGCATTTATGGTGATGGTTCATGGTGACAACTGCTATTGTGTGGCAGGTTTTTTTGGCCAGGCATGATGGGAGGTACTTTAGCATACTGTAAACCTCAGAATGACTTGAGTAATTCCCACATATTATCTCTCTTTGTGTTGAGTTCTTTACATGCAGAAGAATTTTCCTTTCTCTGGGGCACAATTTTAGATGAAATGTGTTCTGTCTCTATGAATGAGTTACCTGGCTTTAGGTTGTTCCCCTGGGTGGAAAGAAAATGGACAACGCTGCTACTTAGCAATGCATTTATGGACAAAGATATGGAAAGTACCGAGAGTCAGAGAGCTGGGCCAGGAAGCCATTACTTCTCCAAAGCTTGTCCCAGAAGTTCTTTCATGGAAGATATTGAAGGAGCCTGGAAAACCTGACTATTTGTTTGTTCTCCAGTGGTTCCTGTGTTTGTTGGTCCCTGGGCAATGTGAATGGGTTCCTCTATTCATTCCAAATGAGGTGCTGAAGAGATGATCAGCCAATGTCTAGGTGGTGGATTTGATGTGAGATTATCCTTGTTGACTTCCGCTGGTCAGGAGAGAGGAAATGTTTGGGATCAGGGACTAAGGGAGGATTACTGGTGGTTGTTGTGTGAAAAAGCCGACGTCTAGCCAGGCTATGAGTGGATGAGAATGGGCCTTGTAGGAGGGACTAGCCACAACTCGACACCTATGTCTTCACAATTCAGGGTCATCTCTACCAAGAAATCTCTCTAGTTTTCCATCAACCATTTCTTCTTCTTCTTTTTTTTTTTCCCAGTCATGGGGCCTGAACTCTGAGTGCTGTCCCTCAGCTCAAGGATAGTGTTCTACCACTTGAGTCACAGCACCACTTCCAACTTTTTCTGCTTATGTGGTGCTGAGGAATCGAACCCAGAGCCTCATGCCTGCAAGGCAAGCGCTCTACCACTGAGCCACCTTCCCAGCCCATCAACCATTTCTTTAACTCTCAGTGCACATCTGTAATCAGTTTCCATCCTTCTGTTCAGTCATTGTGTAAATAATCCTGAAATCTTTTTTTTTTTAAATTTCCCTAAGCTGGGTGCTGGTAGCTCATGCCTGTAATCCTAGCTACTCAGAAGGCTGAGCTCTGAGGATCATGGCTTGAAGCCAGCCAGGGCAGGAAAGTCTGTGAGACTCTTATGTTCAATGAGCCATCAAGAAAAGCTAGAAATAGAACTGTGGCTCAAGTGGTAGAATGTTAGCCGTAAGCACAGCTATGGTCAAGGACAGCTCCCAGGCCCACAGGATTGGCAAAAAAAAAAAAATCCCCTACAGGCTTCATTAGGTAATATTTTAGAGCAGGTGTTTTAAAAAAATAGTATAAAAAAAGTAATCTGCCTTCCCTAGTCCGACCAGAGTCTTAACAGGAAAGCAAGCAACCAGGAAACATCTTGTGGAATAGAAACATATGTCCTGGGTCTTGGCCATCCACAGCAGGTCAGGTGTAGGTAACTCAGGAGATGACTCCATTTGTGAATCTTCCTCAGCACCAGTAGCATTTCTTCTTCCATCTGTCTGGGAATTTCTTGTGTGTAGAGGATGGGCATGCCGGAAGCCTGGACCTGGATGGCCACACCAGGGCAGGACTTCTGGTAATGCCACAGTTCAGTACAGTGGATGGTACATCTATCTCATCCCTCAGACAAGCGGAATGGTGGCTTCTTCCAGCAATGGCAGCTCCTGGATCGCATCATCCAGCAGATTGTCCTTCAGGATGAGTACGGCGTAGACCCGGACCTGGCTCCGCTGGAGAACTTCAACGTCAAGAACATTGTCAATATGTGAGTTGTGTCTGGCATGCCTGCCACCCCTCTGCCCTCCCTCCTGGGCTGGGTCCCCCATCATGAAACCTCAGTTCCTTGTCCACCCGGACGTCCCCAAATGGGTCTTCAGTGGTTTATTTTTTTCAGTCTCTACGCTCATGGAGAAGATTTGTCTCTGTCTTGTCTAGGGTGACAACCAGATGGAGCTAATGAAGATTTGACACGGGGCTAGTGTGGCTGAGGGTCTGAAGTTAAATTGTATTTTATTTACATTTGACTGGCCCCATGTCACGTGGCTAGTGATGATCATATTGGAAACACAAGTGTGCAGGGGCTCTTCTCAATTCTCAGTGATAGCCTGCAAGGGTTGGATGGCAGGAGTGCAACACATTCGCATGGAATGTGTAAGAGTACTACGGTGCGTGGCTAGCTCCAGCCCTTCAGCTTGCTGTCATATGGCCTTAATGATCTCTCATCCTCATTCTGGTCCCTGGGTGCAAGCGTACCATCAAGGAGTTGGATGATAAAGTCTTTGGGGGTTCTTTCTGCTCTGAGTGGTCACCTGGGCAGGCCTGGGGGTCCAGAGACACAGCTGAGAAGGAACCATTCTGGTTTCCTTCATGTGATGGAAGGTCAGGGTAGCAACCTAGGGAAGAGACATGGCATGTCTTCTGGGATGTGGTGGATGGCTGACAGCAATCACATGGCCTCTTCTCTTCTCTGCCCTCCAGGCTCATCAATGAGAATGAAGTGAAACAGTGGAAAGACCAGGCAGAGAAGTTCCGGAAAGGTGAGAGGCTCTATAGATCCTGCCAGGTGCTCCCCGGACCCTTTCCCCATGAGCCCAGGACCCCATCTCCTCCGGGAAGGACAAACCCATCTCCTCCGGGAAGGACACACACTGCGTGTGCTCATCTCCCATTTCCTCTCGGGGTCTACTGCATTGCAGAACACATGGAGCTTGTGAGCCGGCTAGAGAGGAAGGAGCGGGAGTGTGAGACAAAGACGGTGGAGAAGGAGGAGATGATGAGGACGCTGAACAAGATGAAGGACAAGCTGGCCCGGGAGTCCCAGGAGCTACGCCAGGCCAGGGGACAGGTGGCAGAGCTGGTAGCCCAACTCAGTGAAATCCCAGTATGTGAACAGTGCAGCTGAGACCCTGGGCTTTGGAAGGATGGGGGGGGAGGGGCAAGGGGCGGAGCAGGTGTGAGGAGGAAGAAGGCCTGCCTGTGTCCGTGTTACTGTTTCATTGTGCTGTGTGTGTGTGTGTGTGTGTGTGTGTGTGTGTGTGTGAGAGAGAGAGAGAGAGAGACAGAGACAGAGACAGAGACAGAGAGACAGAGACAGAGAGAGAGAGAGAAAGAAAGAGAGAGAGAGACAGAGAAAGAAAGAGAGAGAGAGAGACAGGGAGAGAGATTTGGACATTTTGAATTTGAAGAAGAGAAAAATGTTGAAATGTGTGTGGGAAGTGACAGCAGATGGAGACTTAGACTGACCCGAGATCAGTATGGATGACTGGTTTCAATTTTTTTCTGTCTCCTTACAGACAGGCCCCTCGTCTTCTCCATCTCCCCCCGGAGGCCCACTCACCCTGTCTTCCTCCATGACAACCAGTGACCGGCCTCCACCCCCACCCCCTCTCCCCTTCTCCTGCTGCCCCCCACCTCCCCCGCCACCCCTTCCGCCTGGCGGGCCTCCCACCCCCCCGGGAGCCCCACCGTGCTTTGGCCAGGGCCTGCCCCTGCCTCAAGACCCTTTCCCCAGCAGCGAGGTTCCACTCAGGAGAAAGCACACCCCCCAGCCTTCCCACCCACTGAAGTCCTTCAACTGGGTCAAGCTGAACGAGGTGATTGGCTGGAAGGAGGGAGCGGGTTGGTCCCTTGTAGCCAATGGCAGGTGGGCACTGGACTGTGGGCCTGCAGTCAGGCAAATCCTCCCCAGGTTCTTTCTTTTATGTGTGTGTGGGGGGTGGGGATGAGGTGGGAAGGAGAGTAAGAAGATGAGCTTTGGGGAGGACATCTACCCTGGGAGGGACACTGAGCAGGTGGGTGTGCTTGAGGTGGCAAAGCCATCTGCAAATGAACTTGTGTGTGCCATAGGTGAATAGAGCAGTGGACAACAAAGCCTGGGCCAGGCCAGATACTTTCCAAACAGGACAGGACTGAGCAAGGATTTCCTGGGAGAGGGTTGACCTGAGGGAAGAGGTAGAAGATGGTATAGGCAGAGTTTGGGCTAAGGTTAGGATCAGGGCAGAGGGTGCAAGGGCTGGAGTTTGAAAGCAAGATGAGGCTCTGAGTCATCATCCCTGGTCAGCGCTGTGCACATGGGTCACATTTCTGTACCTGTAGTGAGTGTCCTTGTGAGGACTGTCCACCAATACTCTCCAATCCCAGGCCCTCTCACGGGAGTTCATTTCTCCACTGGACTCTACGGAGCATCGGAATGTCCTGAATCTCATTAGATCCCCAGCAAGGAATCAGCAAGTCTGATTTTTAGAGGACCTTATCCCCTAGGCAAATACATATATGGCAGCTTGTTTCAGTTAGCCTGATTCCTACCCCTACTTGAACCACATCTGTGTAGAATCTAGCTTGGTAGACTCATCCATGGGGACTTTCTGCCTTAGCATTGTGGGTGAGCTTCTGTGACATAAGAGGGGAAGACATTCTGGGTAGAGAAGAGATTACTGACTAAGTAGTTGTGTGTTTGTTACGTGTTTCTTCCTGGTGGTAGACCAGTTGGCTAGCCAGGCTGAGGTCTGTTTTTAGTACAACTTTATTCTGGAGGACCCGATGGTTATTGATTTCAGAGAGAGGTAGCAGGTGTCCTATCCTGGGAGAGTGCAAGAACTAGCAAACTGGGGGAAAATGGCCAGAAAACAACTAGAGAACCTGAGGATGAGTGGAGGGAGAGGTTCTAGCCTGCAACCACACCTGGTTTGGCTCTAACTAGAGTGTGGATCCATTTATCACATCATCCCTTTTGTCAGTACCACGGTTTTCTTGCTGTAAGGAGATCTTCAAGCTCTTTTCCACCTCTGATTCATCATCTAGAGGAAAATATGCCACAAGGAAGCAACCCGTTCATAGTCTCTGGGGCAACCGGTATCATTTCCGATCTGCGTGATTTGCATTAGAGTTCACTTGCTCATGGTGTTGCAAAGCAAAAGCATTCATGTTAGAGGCATCTGCGCTGCCCAGTTATACTCTGTGGTTGGAGAGTTGAGAAAAGCTAGTTGCAAACGAGCAAGCGGCTTGCAGAACCAAATGCTGTGGGCTGTGTGGAAATAGCCATCGCTCCACAACAGAAATACTGTGTTTTTGTATTGTGGTTTAAAGAAAAAGTAGAAAGTTTTTGTCTCCTAGACTGGTAGCGTATAATTTAAGTTTTAAAAAAATTTTGTAAGTTATAATATGCCTCCAAGGACTACGGAATATAGACAGGGCAATGAATTAATTTTTGTGCATGTGATGTTTTCATTGTGGAGAGGTTCATGCTTAGGATTTTTTCCAGAGTCTGATAATGCTGAATTCTACAAGATGTACTCCAGTAGACCAGAAGAGTTTCCCCTCCCCCTTTGTGCTACTACCAGGGCTTGAACTCGGGGCCTAAGTGCTGTCCCTGAGGTTTTCTTTCCCTCTACCACTTGAGCCACATCTCCACTTCTGGCTTTTTGCTGATTTATTGGAGATAAGAGTCTCACAGACTTTCCTACCCGCTGGTTTTGTACCAGAGCCCTCGGATCTCAGCCTCCTGAGTAGATAGAATTACAGGCGTGAGCCACCAGTACCTGGCTGGGAACTCTTAATAAATAATCATACGATATTAAATTAATTGTTAGTGGCACTTCTGTGTGTGGTGTAAGTGTATTATCTCAATTTTCAGTCAACTCAGGGAGGTGAGCATTACTGAGACTCAGTTTCTTGTTACGTGACCCAGGATAAAAACAATATCTCTCCGTTATGGCAGGATTGGAAATGTCAGCCTGATCCCAAAGTCAACGCTCTGTGCAGGAAACACCATGAAATGTGTTCCTGAGAAAGATTGGCTTGGCATTGAGGATATATCTTTAAGAGGGCCAGAAGTCTCAAGGATCTAGACTACAGATGACAGAGTTTTGGCCCAGAGCAGTGGAAAAATTAAATTTGAGAATTGCCACAAAGATGGGCGTGGCAGGCTGACGGGGCAGAAGTATGGAGCATGTAGGGAAGGGCCCTACCTGTCCCTGGCTTCCGACCACATGATTCTCCACAAATCACCCAAATCATCCAAAGCCATGCTGGGTGTCTGCTTAGGCTGCCTTCAGGACAAAACCAGAGAGGGGCCCAGGTGACTTCATCTTCTGTCTCATGGGAAACTTTTCTCCGTGTTGAACACCAAGCTCTTCTACTCGAGCAACTTCCTTCCTTCTGGCCCTGGCCTTGCCGAGGATAAAGAGGAAGGAAAGCGTTGTCTCTGAGGGATTCCCTCTCATTCTCTACCCCACAATAAGCCACTCTGGGTCCCTCTGGTTACCCCATGGGGGTGCTACCTACCTTCCTGATTCCCTGATTTTGGTTCCCTTCTCATCCTCTCTCTACCCTACCCCCCTTTTTTTAAAAATTTTTGGTTGGTCGTGGGGCTTGAACTCTGGGCCTGGGCGCTGTCCCTCAGCTCTTCAGCTCAAGGCAAGGACTCCACCACCTTAGCCACAGCACTACTTCCGGTTTACTGGTGGTTTACTGGAGATTAGAGTCTCATGGACTTTCCTGCCCGGGCTGGTTTTGAACTGCGATCCTCGGATCTCAGCCTCCTGAGTAGCTAGGATGACAGGCGTGAGCCACTCGCTGGTGCCCAGCCCCATCTTCTTTCCTAAGAGCTGGGGTTCCCCTCCCCATCCTCACTCTTCTATCCCACACATGGGTTCTCTCTATGTTTCTCTCTGTGTCTGATCTCTCCCTGTGTCTTGCTTGTCTCTCATGCACACGCGCGTACACACACACACACACACACACAGAGTGGTTGTTTCTGCCATGAAAAGAATGTGTCTGTGTTGGGCTTGGCCAGTTGCCTGTATCCCTTGCTGCTCCCTAGCTTCTCGGCCCGGCATTCCACACAAGGGTCCCTGGCCTTCAGAAGGCCACAGGAATGTCCCCTCCCCTCGACTCTGGCCTAGCCTCCCCTTTCCAGAGTTTAAGAAAATAAAAGTGAGTGAAAGGTATGCTTCTCCCTCCAAGCCTGCGAGGGGGAAGGTAGGGAGGAGGTGCAAGCATCAGGAAGGTTCCTTGGCTGCCCTCGAGGCAGGGGAAAGCAGGGGAGAAGGAAGAGCCACGCTCTGGATGACATGCAGGTCTCTGGGAGGAGGAGCGTTGCTCAGCACTTTCCTTGAAGCCACCAGCCAGGTGGGCAAGATGTTGTAACGTGTTAGAGCAGTTTAGGGCTTTGCTCACAAAGCTCCTTTCTAGGCCCTTCTGGGCAAGAGTCCTACGCAGAGATGGAGTGATGCCTCCATTGAGAGACCGGTGGTATGTAAACTTTAGGGGCCTTCCCTGGGTCTGACCAACAGGAAGTTGTGGCAGAGCCTGGATCCTCTGAGCAGAGTCACTACAAGGCCCAGATGTCCGAACCTTTGGCATATGTCTGTAGGCAAACCACTGGTCAAGTTCTGGGAATCCCGGAAAGGAAAGGGGTGTCTCAGATCTAGGAAATTCATCCTATGCAGAGGCTTCCAGGATCCCTGATCCTTCCAGTGCTTCCAGTCTAGGACAGAAGTAGCTTCTATCCATCCAGCCTTGCCCAATATGGAGGGCAGGCCAGTGCTGGGGCCCGGGGAGCATTGCTTCTGCTGTTGCTTTTGCAGAAGCTTACAGGCACCTCCTTTCACACTCATCCACCCATCACTCAGTGCTTCTGGGACGTGCTTGCTCATGGCCTCTTGGGAAAGGGAGAAGGAGATCGTCTAAAGCTCTACCCAGGAGCAGAGTGACCAAGGAAGGCAGAGGTTTCAGGGCGGAGAGGAACGAAAGGTCTGAGAGGCTGGCTATGGTAGCATGGGCTTCTGGGTGGCTGCGTGGTGAGGGAACTGGGCTCCACCTGTGTTGACTTCGCCTCACTCTGGGTCTTAGGAGCGTGTCCCTGGCACTGTGTGGAATGAGATGGATGACACAAAGGTATTTCAGATTCTGGATCTGAAGGATTTTGAAAAGATGTTTTCAGCTTATCAGAGGCACCAGGTAAGACGCTAACTCACGCTGTTCCCAGCTCTTGGGTTCTGACTTCTGTATAGACACCTACTCACCTCAAACCTAGTCCCTTTTCTGTGTGTGCTGGTCCCAGAGCTTCAACGCAGAGACTGGTGCTCTCACTTTTCTTCCACTCAAGGCTGGCACTCTACCACTTGAGCCACACCTCCACTTCCTCAACCCTAGTCAACGTATTCCTTTCCTGCTTTCCGCCTTCCCTTCGGGCTTTCCTCCTCCCCTCCCTGTCTTCGCGTTTCTTCCTCCCATATTTACAAAGTGATTTCACGTCTTTATTTTTTTCGTGGTACTGGGTTTGAACTCAGAGCCTCACACTTGCTAGGCAGGTGCTCTACCACTTGAGCCATACCTCTAGCCCCTTTTTTTGCATTGGTTAATTTCAAGTTAGGGTTTCACTTTATGCCTGAGCTGTTCTGAGCTTCCCACTTGTACTTCCCATGTGGCTGAGTTTGGGAGGATTCGAACCTTGATCCTCAGATCTCAGCCCACTGAGTAACTGGGACTACAGGTGTGAGCCACTAGCATCTGGCTGGCTATTGATTTGATTTTAAAGTGGGTGTCCAAGGCATCTGATTCCCTACCTGTAATTCCAGGGAGCATGTTAGCCTATGTCCTTGTCAGGCTGGCATGGCTGAAGGCAGCAGCTAGGCTGTACGCTGAAAGGAGTTCTGTGAACATTGGTGTCCCTGGCTCCTGGAATGGGTGCCAGGGAGAGTGGGCATAGGGCATAGATGAGGCATGGCTCACCCATGAGACCCCCTAGTTTGCATGACTCCCAGGCCAGCGTCCTGGGCTGGCCTCTCCAGGCTCTAGAACTCTGAAGTAGGTTGGGATAGACCGGGTCTGGAGCTTACATAAACTGGATTCAGCATCTCCCAGCTTGATGAGTTGAGACAATTGAAGTCTGAAAGGCCTTTCTTCTGTCCCCCTCAATTCTGAGACCAGTCCATGCAGCCCCTTGCTTGGGCCTGGTCTCTACAGTCCCAGCAGCAGAGCTGGAGTGATCCCGGAGACGCTGCAGCCCTGGTCACTTCCTCTCACAGGTCCTTGGGCAGCGAGTGAGATATGGGGCAGAGGAGGTCCTGAGAGCTGTGGTCTTTCCTCCAAGCCCCAGGTCGCTTTTGCATTAGCAGCTGCAGCTCTGTCAGTTGCAGGCTAGGCCTCCTCTGCCCCCCCTCCCCCTAGACACCAGAGAACAGACAGGCAAGAGCAACTTCGAGGGTGCCTCCTTTCCGCCTCCTTGGAAAGGACTCACATGAGATCCCAGTTCAAGTTCGTGTCTCTCTGGTGTTCCTCTCCCTTCTTCCTGGGGGTGGGGGGTGGGGGTGGGATGGGGTGTGTGTGGAGGGAAGCAATGGCCACTGCCTTCTCCTACCTTCTCAGCAGAGGAGAAAGGAGAGTGAGAAGTCAAGACCCAGGGGCAGGGCAGCTCAGGGCATGCACCCCAGGGTGCATGGGGTCTGCCCAGCCCTGGCTGACGCGCAGTAGTGTGTGTGTGTGGGAACCTGCCTGATCTCCATTTGTTTGGCTTCTCTGCTGGTGCATGTCTGCTAGGAGTAGCTTCTAACCATGGGGGGCAGGGAGGAGGGACTGGGAGGGGAGAGTGTTTCCGGAGACGGTGTGGACAGAGGAAAAGGCTGAAGGTCTCCCCCTCCATCCGTGCTACTGGTCCTGGGTCCCTGAACCTCTTGACTAATGTGTTGCATGTTTAATTCTCTATTGGCTGTGGCTGCTACCTGTCTAGGAGCTGATAACTAATCCTATCCATCAGGTGAGTCACTCTTGGGACTCTGAATATTCCAACCCCTAACCACTGTCCTGGGCTTTGGCTCTGAACTAGGCCCAGAAGAGGGGAGTTTGTTCTTGCTGCCTCTCACCTTAGCACCCATCCTTGTAGGGAGCATGCGGGTGGAGGGGGGAAGTTCCCCAGGAGAGAAAGAGGAAGTGTGGGAGAAAAGCAACCCTGTCTCTGTCAGCAGTAGGAGGGAAAAGAAAGCCTCTAGGTCTTTCGTCTCCTCCACCACCAAGCCCAAGGCAAGGCTCTTCTGTCTGACTGACTGCCAAGGTTTGGCACTGCATGATTCCTGGGGCAGAGTTCACAAAGATAATGATGTAAATGATAGTTCCCTAGAGCTGTGCACCGTGGAACCAATCTGTGCTCAGAATTCTACCTCAGTTTCCCCACCTCCGACCTTGTGGATGCATATTGAGATGGGCATATTGAGGTGTGCACCTGTCCCCAAGAATAGCAACCAATGACCTCTGTGGACTTTGGACCAACTTCTCATCATGATCTGAGGAGGCCCTGGGTGGTGGTGGTGGGTTTGATCCTGTGGGAGACAAGATGACTCTTGTCACCACCACACCACGGAAAGCCAGAGAGATCGTTCCCACCTTCCCCCCATGGCAGCCCAGCCCTTCCCTAGGCTGCTGAGGCAGAAGGAGAAGGGGTCCTTCCTATCCCATAGTAAAGTCTCAGAGCATTGACCCCAAGAGACAGCTATCTTCTTCCTCTCCTTCTTCCTCTCCTCCCCAGTTTGGAAGGAGAGTGGCCACTGCGGGTGGGGAGTGGGGCCCAGAGAAGACAGGAAAACACACCTCTGCCTCATTGTTCACAGAAAGAGCTGGGCTCCACCGAGGACATCTACTCGACCTCCCGAAAGGTCAAAGAGCTGTCAGTCATCGATGGCCGGAGAGCCCAGAACTGCATCATCCTCCTCTCCAAGTATGTCCAGCCCGCCCTGCCCCATGAGCCCTGGCCCAGCTGGCTTCCCGTGGGAGGGACAGGGGCCTTCCATGACAGAGAGACCAGAGACACAGAAAGTGCTAAACAAGGTGCTGAGGGGCTGGGCTGCAGCTCCCTGGTGTAGCTTGCAAAACCCAAGCCTCCCCACCCCATTCCATCCCCAGCACTGCAAACAAGGCACAAAACAAATAATAAAAACAAAAACAAAGTGGAGGGGATCCCTGAGGAGAGGAGGAAGCTCTTAGCCTCCTTGCTCTGCTGGAAGAGGCAGGTATTGTATTAGATATCTTTAAGAGAGCAGAGAAGGACTCTGCAGACAGGAAACTGCTCCAAATCACAAGACCCCCGTGGCCTGACCGGCCTGGTCAGCATCAGGCAAACTGAGTTGCTTTAAGCCAGTGGAGGGCTTGGAGTGGCATGATCTCAGTCCCTGAGCATTTCCCTTGTGGTGGTAGAACAAACAGGACAGTATCTGCACTAACAGGGCTGCTTCTATGTGGGCCTCCCTGGAGCCAGGGGCAGGGGGCAGAGCCTTGGGACTATTCTTAGTGCTGCCTTCAGCTGCCTCTGGGACATCTGCCCTCTCTGTCCTGCATTCTCAGGTTTCCCGTGGGCGTGCTCACGGAGGGGATGGGGAAAGGGACAGCCAGTAAGACCGATTGGAACAGCTGGGTGGGAGCTGGGTGGGTCAGAGATCAGGAGACCCCGTCTCCAGAGAAGAAGGAGGAAAGGGGAGGAAGTAGCTGCTCAGTCAGTGGCCTGCTGAAGTTCTGACCTCCCAAGGTGGTAGAGAAGGAGGAGGACCAGTCAGAAACCCTCTGGCTATTTCTTGAGTTGGCGGCATACAAGATGGCTCTCTTATTTCCTGATGCCCCACCAACTTGGACAAAGCCTCAAATGACACACACACACACACACACACACACACACACATAGGGACCTGAGTCTTTATTAGTCACTATAATGCTCGTCATGGGGTATATGGAGTGTGTCATATTAGTTTAGTCTGAGATGTCTTCACAGAGGAGGCCGTGAGGGAGGACCACCAATGATTCTCCAGTCCATGGGACGGGGTGGGGGCAGGCTGAGGCAGCAGCATCCGACAGAGGAGATGAGGGAGCCTCCCTGAGCTGAGGGCCCGCCAGGCTGCTCAGGGTCGCTCTCCTTTTGGTGCAGGTTGAAGCTTTCCAACGAGGAGATCCGGCAGGCCATCTTGAAGATGGATGAGCAGGAGGACCTGGCTAAAGATATGCTGGAGCAGGTGAGGACCCTGGGGGGAGGGCGGAGAGACAGCCCTGGGGAGAGTCACAGGTCCCGTGTGAAGCTGAGACACCTGGGTCAACAGAAAGCAAGAAATTGGAGAGAAGGTTTCTAGAAACTTCTCTGGACGAGCCTTTCTCCGGAAAAGGCTTCCAGAGATCTTTGAGGTGCCTAGAAAGAGATAGGAGGTATAAACCACGCTTGGTCTCCAGACCAAGTCAAAACAGACAGCAGTCATTTCTCCTCCAAATTGCTTCCCTTTCAGTGTGTTAGGGGCCACGTAGCAAACCACGCACAAAGGAACATCAATCAGACTTTGCTAAAAGGGTCACCACTTTCCTCCAGAAGGCATGGACTAGCGGGGGAACACAAGACAAAACCTAGAAGATATTATATATGGAAGTTTATAGAGAAATATATTTATATATGGGAATATATAAAATAAATATATGACATATAAATATGTTTATACACACATATACACATGTAATATCTACATACTTCAATCATCTATCAATCATCCATTACCCATCATCTCTCTGTCATCTAACTCTATCTACCCATTACCTATCAATTCTACATAACTCTATTTCTATGACCTATCTTCTATCTACCTATTATCTATCACCTCTCTAACATCTCCTATTTACAATAAAGAACTCTACAAACCAGGGAGAAAGTGGCTAGCCACTGAGCTTCAAAAATGAGCAAAAAGAGTTGAATAGCTACTTTATGGAAGAGAGTTTCCCAGTGGCTCATCAGCATATGACAGGTGTGCAGTACCACCAGAGAAACCACCATGTGAGCTTTGGTGTGGGGATGCTGGACTCCCACCAGAAAAGCTAGTACGGAAATGACTGACAATGCTGTGTGAGGGCAGGGATGACAATCACTGGGGATTCTCATCAGCGCAGTCATTTTGGAGAACTATTTGGCAGTACACAGTAAGGCTGAACATATACCAACTTTACCACCAATAATCCCACACTTAGCTATATACCCAAGAGTATATACCCAGGATAAATACGGACTGAAAGACATGCACAAAAATAGTTCTAGAATTGTATCTGTAAAACCCCAAAGTATGAGCAGCCCAGATCTTCATCGATAGGAAAGTGAAGAAATAGGCTGTAGTATTATTTATTCAGAGTACTACTCAGCAATAAATGAGAGCAACATATCAATACAGTGTTCAGCATGGATGAATGGTAGACTTCGCTTTGAGAGAAAGAAACCAGATGCAAAAAGAGAGCAGCGACTCAGTTCATTTTCTGCACATGTAAGAAAACATCTGGCGCTGGTTAATTTATAAATGATAGAAGTCCGCGTGGCGCTCACAGCTCGGGAGGCTGGAGAGTTTGGAAGTTGCTTGGTATCTGGTGATGGCGTGTGTGCAGGGACATCGCAGGACAGGATGCAACAGGTGTCCTAGCTGCATCTCTCTTCTTTCTGGTATCGGCCCACTGTCGTACCACATCTGATCCTAAGTCCCTCCCATATGCCTCACCTCCAGACATCATTAGCCTATGGGATTGGGGGTTACATTTCCATGCATGAACTTTTGGAGGAAGTATTCAAAAACAGAGCATCCAGCTTGAATATCCACCAGTCTGTATGACTGTATCTTTCTAAGCCCATTCCCCATCATTTTCTTGTTTGCTTGATTTCTTTGTTGGCAGTGCCTTGCATTTGCCAGGCAGGTGCTCTACCACTTGATCCATGTTTCCAGCCCTTTTAGCTTTGAAGATGATGATGATGGTGATGATGGTGATGATGATGATGATTACTGGTGGTTATGGAACTTGAACTCAGGGTCTGGGTGCTATCCCTGAGCTCTTCTGCTCAAGGCTAGTGCTCCACCACTTTGAGCCACAGCTCCATTTCTGGCTTTTGAATGGTTCATTGGAGATAAGAGTCTCACAGGGACTTCTCTGCCTGGGCTGGCTTTGAACTGTGATCCTCAGAGCTCAGCCATCTGAGTAGCTAGGATTACAGGTGTGAGCCACCAGTGGCAGGCTATTTTTTAAATATAGGATCTCACATATTTTACCCAGGCTTGCCTGGACAAGATCCTCCTATAATTGGTGACAAGGGGTCTTGTGAATCTTTTTGCCTAGGCTTCCCTTGAACTGTGATCTTCCCGTCCTCACCTCCCATGTAGGTGGGATTATAGATGTGAGCTACCATACCAGCTCTCTCCGTAGCCCAGACTGACCTCGGATTTAATGTGTAGCACAGATTACAATCCTCCCCCATCAGCTGCCTTCTCTCCATCTTGAGCCCCTGAGAAATACAGGTTTCTTAGGCATTGAACCCTCATACCGGTTGCTCACCAATTTCCTGTAGCTCCTCAAGTTCATTCCAGAGAAGAGCGACATTGACCTCCTCGAGGAACACAAGCACGAGATCGAGCGGATGGCAAGGGCCGATCGCTTCCTCTATGAAATGAGCAGGTCGGGGCAGAGACCTTGGCAGGAAGGGTTAGGGTTGGGCTTGGGGTGGTAGGTTCTGTCAAGGAGACCCGGAAGGGATGGGAAGTGGGCCGGCTCAAGAGGAGGCTGCAGGAGGCCTCTGGAGCTGTCTCTTACCCCGTCTACAGGATCGACCACTACCAGCAACGACTACAGGCCCTGTTCTTCAAGAAGAAGTTCCAGGAGCGGCTGGCAGAGGCCAAACCCAAAGTGGAAGGTAGGGCGGATGGCTGCCTGAGGCTTGGGGTAGAGAGGTATCTGCGCATAGGGAAACTCCTTCATTACTCTTGATCTCACCCCAGCCCCCAACAAAGTCAAGGACAAAATCAGAAACAATGGTTATCATTAGAAGATGTTTTCATTCAGATTAGCCTATGTGCCAAACAGGTGACACACATCTACACATCATTCAGGCATCCCAGGCAGGGGTGTCTGTCGGTGCCCCCAGAGTGAGATAGAAACAATGAGATAGGAATGCCGTATCTAGCTCCTAGAACCGGGCCTGGCATGCCATCCTCACCTACTTGAGAGCTATGAGTTTCCCAGAAGAACCCTGGGCACATTCCTTGAGCGTGAGCTACTTGAAAAGGAGGCAGTCACATTAGTTGATGGCTGCTAACATCCGATTTTCTGAGTTAGGGAAACCTGGTCCCTACAGGCCACCGTGGATGAGACATGGATTATTCAGTGACAGGTACACGCTGAGCGTGGGTGCTGTTACAGCCCTCATGGCCTTCTTCTCCTAAAATGGGACAAGGGGCCTTTGCCCTTGGAGATGCAGGGCATTTCCTCCAATCCCATCCCTTCATTCTTGTCCTGTGGGACAATTGCGTGTGGATTGTGGATGGCAGAGGAAGGAAGGGACAGGAGGTTATGGGAAAGACAGGTAGTGCGGACTGATGGGCAGACCTGCAGTGGGGATGGGGGAGGTGGGGAGGGGACAGAAACAAGAAGCTGGGAGGCTCTTTTGGGGTGAGAACAGGAAGACTGTCCTGAATCCAGAGGATGCCGGGCAGGGGGTGCCCGAGCAGAGCGTGAGCACCCCCTGCTGGACAGCAGGGTCACATAGCACTCCCAATGAGTGGCCCTACCTGGGGATCCCTGGGCCTTTTGGGGGGGAGGATTCTGGGTAGGGTGGAGTGTGCAAGGCCTAAAGGCAGACGGATGCCTGATGGGGAACTGATAATTGGGATCATTGGTCTCAGGGAGAAGGAAACACATCAGCGGCCAGTCTCCACTGGGCAGTTTCTCCTTGCCCTGGCCATGGGTGAACCCTTTATCTTCAACGTTCTTTCTTCCTGCTCCTGGCAGCCTTAGGCATAGATAAGGGGTTCAGGCCAAGGTGTGGGTGCTCAACTATTTGTGTCTCTTGGGTCAGTGGAGCAAATATGAGCCATTGGTATTTGGAGCTGAGAATCAGAGTTAGCTTAGCCACCAGAACAGTTCAATTTCCGATCATTTCCTGCCCCCAGGAAGCTGCACCCAGGTTCTCCCCAAGAGCCAGTCAGTGGTTGCTCTGTTAAAGTCTGTCTTTAATAACAAGCTATACATGGAGCAAGTCATGTTTGGTAGAGCAAAACTGCTGGGGGAAACCCATAGTCCTCTTATCTGGGCTGTGTAAAGAATGCTCAGCCTTGGCAAAGCTGTTCTTCCTGAATGGCTGAGCGCTCAAAGAGATACCCAAGTTGTATTTTGTAGAAGTGGATCCATATGCTTGGCTGGGGTAGGCAGCCAAGGATTGTACAGGCATTTGGGTTCATCTCTCTCCTTCCACTTCTCCCAGTAAGTGTTTCTGAAGTAGTTAAGATTGAGCCTACACCAGCTGGGTGTTGAGCCATTCACATCCACCATTCCATGGGGGGCTTGGGGTCAAGCTGCTAAAAGCTAATTCACCAAATCAGACAAATGTGATAATTCCATGAATGTATTCATGAGCATTTCTCTGAATACATTCTTATGAATGTGTTCATCGCTGAGTAGACCAAGTGTACGGATTCTTATTATGAACATATTCACTAAATATAGTCGAGAGGAACATAGTCGCAAATGTGATAGTCTTATGAATAGATTCATGAATAGATTCCTCTTGTGAATGTATCTAAAAATGTCAGCATCAAATAGGGGAGTTTTCCCATTTCTGCTGATTTCCTATGAATTCTTGTCGTTTTCTGTTTTGCCAACATTGTTAGCACTTTTTAGGAAGATTCCTTTGCAGACTTTTTTTTTTTTTCCCAAATAGCAAATCCCCCAAGCAAATAAATTGCTGGGAATGTCTATAAGTCATTTTTTTTGGGGGGGGGGTTCCTGTTGTGGTGCCTGAACTCTGGGCCTGGGCGCTGTCCCTCAGATCTTCAGCTCAAGGCTAGCGCTCTACCCCTTGGGCCTCAGTGCCACTTCTGGCTTTTTTCTTTTTGCTTTTGTGGTGCTGAGGAATCGAACCCAGGGCCTCATGCATGCAAAGCAAGCGCTCTACCACTGAGCCACCTTCCCAGCCCCTATAAGTCATTTTTTCCCCAAATAACCTTTTTTAAGATTGACATATGACATGCATGTATCCTAAGTACATGCACCAAAATCGTAAGAACCTTTACCTGATGAATCATTATAAAGTGAACCTCTCCTTGTACAGTCAACCCCCAGGTGAAGAAGCAGGTTTCCAGACCCCAACTCCTTCTTTCACATCCTTCTTCCAAACATTGATCCCTCCTGGATACTCCTTCCTTGTTCCCTCTTCATCTAATTCTGGGCACTGTCCCCGAGCCTCTTAGTGTTCAAGGCTAGTGCTCTAGCATGTAAGTCGCAGAGCCGCTTCTGCTTTCTGAGTAGTTTATTGGATAAGAGTCTCACAGACTTTCCTGCTTGGACTGGCTTTGAACCCCAATCCTTAGATCTTAGCCTCCTGAGTAGCTAGGATTACAGGCCTAAGCTACCGGTGCCCAGCTAGTAATTTTTATCTGGCTCCTTCTGTTCAATATTATGATTGTGAGTTATTCCTACAGATACATGTAGTAGCGAGAACCACATTTTATTTCATTATACCGCCCCACCATAATTTATCATAATATTTTCATTATACTTTAGAACCCCTGGGAACAATCAAATTACCCATTCAGAAGAATGGTGCTTTTAGGGCCCAGACTGTGCATGCATTTAACTTAGAAGCTACTGGTCAACCCTTACTTGTTTCTCATTCTTATGCCTTCCTTTTCACTTTTAATTCATTTAAATTGCTTTGGAAGTTCTTTGGTGAAGCAGTTTGTTCTTGTTTTGCAAACTTTCAGTGCTGAGTTTTCCTTTCATCTTAAAGGAGTAAACAGCATCTGACGGAAGCTTGAATTTGGCTTCTGCCAGAGAGTGGAGGTTGGCTGTCTTCTTGACACCACATTTAATACTAAAAAAAAGCATATTCTAGAACTAGTAGCCAAAGTCTCATGGAGGAACTCGTGTCTCATTTCTGCGCATTCACATGGTCACGTGGTAGCTAAGGAAGGGCCGGAGAAGCCGCAGCACAATGAAGGTTTTCGGTACTGTCTACCTTGCTTTTACATTTCTAGCCAATGGATCAGTTAAACACTGGAGGGAAATGGCTGGAATGCCCCAAGGTTAGAAACATTTTCAAAATGATATTCAACAGAATGCCGAATAACTTATTTCATCAATTCTAAGACCCCCATCAACGGCGGGACAGAAATAAATATGGGAATAATTATAAACAGTAACAACTTACATTTTTAATCAAGGGATTTTTATTTGCTTCCTGCCCCCCCCCAAATCAATAAAATTCTGAATTGCAAAATAGTCAGGCACACCCCATAATAGATAAGATGGAGAAAGTTCTCAGAGAGCTGGCACACCTTGAGGAAGGGCCATCTGCTGACCCGGCCTTTGGTGAGATGGTTTGCTTCCTCGGAAGTGGGGAAGAAGAGGGTCTTGCTGAGAGTGTGTAGGGTCTCTGACTTGCAGACGCTGGAGATGCTGAGCAGCCCCTTCCCAAACACCATTGCTACAACTTCTAAGGTACAAGGGGGCTGCTGGCTGGCCCATTCTGCATGGGGATGTGACCTGGCCCTCCTCCCCCAGCCATCCTGCTGGCCTCCCGGGAGCTGACCTGCAGCAGGCGGCTAAAGCAGATGCTGGAGGTGGTCCTGGCCGTTGGCAATTTCATGAACAAAGGGCAGCGTGGGGGTGCCTATGGGTTCCGGGTGGCCAGCCTCAACAAGATCGCAGACACCAAATCCAGCATCGACAGGTAGGGACCATCTGCATCCTCCGGGGTCTCTCCTGTCCCCCGTGACTCCTTCATCCTTTCCCTCCCTGAGACTCCTTATGTCCCTTCACATGCCACCTTTGCTTCTTCCTGTCCCCTGTCCCCAGTTCCTTAGCCCCTCACCTCTGACTGGATCATTGTCATCCATAGAAACATCTCCCTGCTCCACTACCTGATCATGATCCTGGAGAAGCACTTTCCCGACATCCTCAACTTGCCCTCGGAGCTGCAGCATCTTTCAGAAGCCGCCAAAGTCAAGTGAGGCGCCCCTCCCAGACCTCCTTCTCCCCACAGCCTCTCACGCACCCATCTCCCTCCCTCAGGGGCCCTGAGGAATGGTGCCTCAACCCTGAGGGTATATGCGTTGGAAAGAACAAAACAAAGTATGCTCTTAAATCCTGATTCCCGAGACACTTCAAGGAAATGCTGATGTAGAAAGGATGCCCATATGATTAATCCAGTCTCCATGGTGGGTGAATGGAACTTAACCCCAGCAGGGAACTCTGGGAGCTAGCGCAGAATAATCACTCTGCTGAGCTCACCCAAGGGGTGAATTACATGGTGTTCCATTGGTTATTGGTGGAGCAGCTTTGGCTAGGGCGTAACTGCCTGGCCAGGGGTACAGGCAAGAGGGGGCTGGGTCAGAAAAACATCTCTCCCATTGAAGAGTGAGGGCTATGCATTATGATGGACTATGTATTATAGTGCATCTACAGCAATCAGACTGGGGGAATAGTGTTCTCCAGTAGACCCAGAAATGCCGTTGATGGCTAATAGGTATCAAAGGTCACTGTGCTGAAGATAATGCTGTGTCAGGTCACAGATTAGGTAATTTATATTTAAAAGCAACAATAGAGTTTGATGACTCCTGAGGATTGGAAGTCCAAGGCAGGTGTGGAATTGGCACCTGGATCTGCTCTGCTTGGGTATACCAGGATGGAAGGTACTGGCAGGGCAGGACAGAGCAGGGAAACCACTAATACCATTGCAGGCACCACACCCTGGTGACCTCATGACTCCTAGTTATCTCCCAGGGCTCCACCACCAAAGATCATTAACATGAATTTGAGCATTAGGTTTTCCTTACATGAACTTGGGCAGCACCTAGAAACCAAATCGCCCTGCTGAGAGCCAATACGTTTACCTGGTGGTAATAAAAATCAATCTAAGCTAGCGGCCAGGTTTTTGAAGCCTTCTGATATACTACACAGCAGTTCTGACCTGAGAAGAATCTGGAGAAACAAAACACTTCCCCCTGTTCTTCTACAGAAGCACTTATGGGCATGGAGGGAAGGGATTTACCAGGCTTCCCTCATAGGAGTGGCTTAAGCAGCCCCAGGGCCCAGATCTGCCAGCCCCTCAGGCCATTGTACTTTAAACTGCCCTCTCCTCCAAGGTATTTCCAGAAAACAGTAATTTAGAAAGAATGCCGATATGATTAATCCAGTCTCCGCAGCGGGTAAGTGGAACTTAACCCTGATAGGGAACTCTGGGAGCTAGCGCAGAATAACTGTTCGGCTTCTTCCAGCCAAAGCTGATGATCAACTTTCCCTCTTCCGTCTCCCCAACAGCCTGGCAGAGCTGGAGAAGGAGGTGAGCAACCTCAAGAAAGGCTTGCGAGCTGTGGAGGTGGTGAGTACATTGTTAAGATTCGATGGGTGAAGAAGATGCGCAGACTGCCACGGCTGGGAATGACAGGGGGGCTGGGAATGAGCCGAGGCAGGCAGGGACCTGATGCATCGGTGAGAACTAAGGCTCCTGGCTGCTGTGCCGGAAGAATCCAACACAGTGGGCACAGCCCTTGGGAGGGGGTGATTGGATTGCTTAGAGCTTATGTTCTGACACTAAGCAGGGAAGACATCCATCTGAGGCAGCTTCCTCTCATGGAATGCCTTTACCTGGCCATAACATGGAATGTGCCCTTAGTCTGCTGCATGGGTCAATCTGATTCTAGTGGCTGGGGAAGTTGAGAGGTGGCTCAGGGAGGTGGTAGTAGGGCAGGCATCCTTCCCAAGCCAGTGCAGAATCTGAGGACGACCCTGTGATCGGAGCCTTGGGTGTCTCAGACAGTTCCAGCCGCCATGACAAGTCAATTAGCCAAATGTCTTATAAACAAGACATACTTCTCTTAGTTCTGGAGGCTGGGAAGGGCAACATCGAGATGCTAGAAGCTTCCCTGTCCAGTGGGGGCCCACGCCTCCTCACTCTGTCCTCACAGGGTGTCAAGAGCAAGCAAACATCCCAGAGCCTCTTCCTAAGGGCGCTCGTTCCCTTCATGAGGGCTGTGGCCTGCTGGCCCTGCCACCCTCTAATCCTGTGTCCCCCAAACTCTTCACCTTGTGGGTGAGGAGATCAACACCAGAAGCTGGGGTAAAAATATTCAGACAGAAGCACCGTGTTTCCTGCTCCAGTGGCTTCTCCGTTCATCTCTCCCTGGCCTCTAGGCTGCCCAGTAGCTGGGGGATCTTCAATTCTCTGTCCCTCACCCTGAGGAACCACAGACCTTTCCCATGTTTACCATGAGGGAGGGGAGGCTGCCGGGAGAATGGACTCAGATAGAGGTTAAATATGGGCAGAGCCCCTGGTGGCCATCAAGGGTAGTGGAAGAAGGGACACTATTTCCAAATTTCCCATTGGACTGTCCTGCAAAGTACTACTGAGAAGAATGGTCAGTGGTCCAGTGACATGATCAGCAGCTGGGAGCTGAGGCGTCCCCTTAACTTGTGTACCAGCCAGCTGAGATGGTGTCCCACTGCAGACTTGGCTCTCCTAGGCCTGGGGTGGACCTGAGCCTGCCATTTTGTGAGATCTCCCAACCATCTCCTAGACAATGGAAGCTGGCAGAGGTGGGGAAGAGAAGGACACAGACAGGTGGCTTGGTGGACAACTCAGAGTCTTTTGCCACCTTAGCACTGTGAGCTTGAGTGTTGCCTCTTGAGCATCTTGTAGATGACGGGGGCTGGGGGTGTGTGTGGCCTCTGAATTCCCAACATTCTCAGCCCGTATCCATCTAGCAGCTCTTTCCTCTTCTTCCTCAGGAACTAGAATATCAGAGACATCAAGTACGGGAGCCCAATGACAAGTTTGTCCCCGTCATGAGCGATTTCATCACTGTGTCCAGCTTTAGCTTCTCAGAGCTGGAGGACCAGTTAAATGAGGCCAGGGATAAGGTAGGAGGGGCTTAGGCCCCACCTCTGACTTTGCTCCTCACTGATCCCCACCCCCCTGCCCCTCAGAGCCTTGGATTTAACTCCATCACCCCTACAAGACAAGCCACGATAACCACCCACTGTGAAGATGTCTTAGGTGTTGGGCACCACATTAAGTGTTCAGAGGATTTGTCTCACTCACTGTCTACCTTATGGATAGGAAGTTAATCTCATTCAATCCCTATGAACAGCAGGGTGCGAAATTACTTGCCCAAGAATGTCCAGATGTAAATGACAGAGCTGGGGACCAATCCTATCTCTTCAGCTCAGTTTTGGTTTTGGTGGTTATACCTCCATACACAGTCATCTTTTTATTAGGTACATTTTTTTTTAAATTCAGGAGGGCTAGGTGGGGCCAGAGTTCCAGAATTTCTATCAAGCTCCAAAATGGTTCACCAGTGGCTGGTCCAAGGACTATGCCTTGTGTCATAACATCTTTCTTAGCAACATCTTGTGGGTTGAATTAGAGAGGCCTTAGAGAATTAGAGCTCTCAGTGAAAGTCTGCACAATGCCTGGCACATAGGAATAGAGCTAGGCCTTTATGCCCATCGACTTATCTGAGTTCAACAGTAATCCTATGACATTTATTTACCTGCATTTTTCAGGCAAGCAAGCTGAAGCATAACGGGATAAGTAAGTAACCCAATGACTAGACCACTTCAGGGGGACCTTTTGAGTCCTGATCAGGCAGTTTCTGACTTTAGAAAGTTTCCTAAGCTCCAAGGGGGACTGTCAATCAGCTCCAGCCCACCAACTCAGCAATCAGCCCAAGGCTTCCTTAGTTCAGCCTATGCTTTAGTAACAGACCCTCTGATCCTTTCATCTCAGGCTTAGGACTGGGCTCTGCTCTGGCTGGAAGCCAGTTAACGGCAGTTCCACCGTATTGGATGATTCTCCACTACCTTGTTCCTGTTCTCTGTACAGTTTGCCAAGGCATTGGTGCACTTCGGGGAACAGGAGAGCAAGATGCAGCCAGATGAATTCTTCGGCATCTTCGACACCTTCCTGCAGGCCTTCTTGGAGGCCCGGCAGGATCTGGAGGCCATGAGGAGGAAGAAAGAAGAGGAGGAGAGGCGGGCACGAATGGAGGTCATGGTGAGTGAGGCTGGGGCGGGATGAGGGGGGAGGTGGGTCTGAATGGGGGACAGGGTCTCTACCGTGGGAGTGTGGGATGATGACTCATCTCCCACCCCCCACCGCACCCCTGCAGCTGAAGGAGCAGCGGGAACGGGAGCGATGGCAGCGGCAGAGGAAGGTCCTGGCTGGGAACACGCTGGAGGAGGGAGGCGAATTTGATGACCTGGTGTCGGCCCTGCGTTCCGGGGAGGTTTTTGAGAAGGACTTAAGCAAGTTCAAGCGCAACCGCAAGCGATCCGTGAGCCAGGCGCCGGAGGTCACCCGTGAGCGAGGAAGAAACAGGCTACACTATTGACCCGAGGGCTGGGCCGGGCCGGTGGGGGAGCTGAGTGGAGGAGGTGGTGACTTGAAATAATCTGGTGCTGGGTTTGGAGCCATGGGCTGGGTCCTGGGGGGCTGTGTGTGGCTGGACCGGGTGTTTCTCCACACTTCACCTGAAGGGATGTCTCTTACCTCCCTGCACATTATTATTATTATTTTCCAGTCTCTGGGCACCCAGGGGTCATTCTGAGGTTGGCTTGGATGGCCCTGGCAGGTCCTGGCCTCTGGCTAGGTGATCTATGCAGAGATGGCACTATCCCTTATGCCGGGCGACCGGGCAGCCAAGTGGGTGAAGAACTTCTAGGTCAAGACAGCAGATGTCTGTGGGGCTTGTCCTCAGCTCTAGGGGGACAGGAAAGTGACCGACATGGACCTGAGGGGCAAGAGAAGAGAAGCGAGGCCCCCATCCCTCCAGAAGAGGCTCTGTGAGCACCATATCTGGACACAGATGCTCCTCTTGAAGGGAAACAGAAGAAGCATTAGGCATGCTAGCTAGATCAGTTCCTGGTGTGTGCCAGGAACGGGAGCATTGACAAGACAATGAGGGACCAAAGCCATCAGGACAGAGCCTCAAGGCCTGTTTCCTCCAGAGCAAGCCCTCCAGCCTCTCCTCCTTCCCTCAGTCACTTCCTTCCTATCTACCAACACATGCTCACAAAACTCACCCTTGGGTTTCCAGGACTTCCGCTCACTGCCAGGTACGAGGGGAATCTGGACGGGAAAGGGGCCTGAGAAACCTCCTCCATCACCACACCTCATGCTCTGGCCCCTGAGGATCCTGTAGCTACTCTCTATACCACCTGACTATCCTACAGCAAGGCTGTGAACACCCCCTGTCACCCTGGGTGCTCAGTCGGCCCCTCATCAGAGGACATCCCTGAGATGCTCAGGAGTGAGCCCCAGGGCTACCACTTCATGTTACTCACTCAGACACCCCCTCCCTTCTCTAATACCGGCTCCCTGGCAAAGCCACTCTGCGGTCTGTAGATTATGTGTGCTGGTTCTATGTGGTCCTGAGGGCCAGGGTGTGCCTTGGCCTTCCAAGGAGGCGTTTGGACTGGTGTGGGGGGGAAGGTTGGGGGGAAAGAGGACAGATTGAGGACACTGGAGAGATGAAAATGGAGGAGAGCTCACTTCCTTGGGGGCGATCTCTGCCTGAAGGAGTCAAGAGAGGAAGACAAGAGGAGGAGGAAGTCAAGACAGAGGAGGCTTTCACCAGCTCTGGTGCTTCACCCTGATTTGTGGGAGTCCATTCTGGCTCTGCTGTCGACTGCTACCTTCCACGCCGGCTGTGGTCGTAGCATGTGGGCTGATGTATGTACAAGAGTGGTTTTTCTACATGGAAGGAGGCGAGGTCAATCCTAGCAAGGTCTTACTTTCCATTGACCATCATCTCTTCTTCTATGAGGTGAGCTGCCTGAGCCTCCTGGCCTTTCTGCCCCTCCCCCTTTCTATTTCTCATCCAATCCCCTGCCTGGCTTAGGGTCAGTACCTGCAGACAAGTCTGCCGGGCTGGACCTACTCATCAGCTGCCCGTCTTCTCTTTCCCTATGTGAGATTCCTGGGGCGAGACCATAGTAGCTGCGTGCATGTGTGGAAAGTGCACAAGGTGAGCCCAGCACGTGCATTGGTGGTGCAAGCGGGGCAGGCAGGCGTGTTCCGCCAGGAGGGATATGAGCAAGTGTATACCTGGCTGGCACAGGTGTGAAGCGGCCACCTGAGATCCAGGTGAGGGCAAGATGGTTTCTAGGAAGAACATCTGCTGAGAGCTGCATTTTCCCCCTATCTGCACAACAAATCTTCCTACTGCCAGGAGCAGGCTCTGGGGTGGAGAGGGCGGGTTAGGAACTCTTAAGGTCCTCTCCCCAGGCTGGCCATGCTGAGCCTTCCCAGGGAACAGGGGAAGGTTCTGCTTCCGTCCATCAGACACATCCACATCCTGGCATTCCCATGTACGATGGAGGACCCGGTATGAACCAAGAAAGATGAGTATGAGGCTGTTCAAGACACATTGGCTCTTCAGAAAAGCAGTTTGGTTTACCTGTTTACAGAGGACAGTATATTGTTCCAGAACCCAACTTTCTTCCTGCCCACCCCTCAAACATTGTTTTCTTCCCTATTTATTATTTCCTCGATTTGGCCAGTGGCTCTGATGTTACGATGCCGCTGCCACCAGGTCCCAGCAGCGCCGTGGACCGTTGCAGTCGCTCAGCAGGCAGGGTCTGTGCAGGATCAGTCCCTTAGGTTAAGTGATTGAGACTGTGGCTGAGTTCTTTGGTCTTGTGTTCTCTAGCGGGGGGGACAGGGGCCCACTTTTTGCCACCTGCGGATCCTTTTTTTTTTTCTTTCCCTCTAGCTAATTTTGTGTCCAGTGTAAAATTCAGTCAAAACCTAATATAACCCTCTCGGCAGCAGCATTCTCCAACCCTCCCCCACCACAAGGGATGTCTAGGGAAGTGTGTGTGTGTGTGTGTGTGTGTGTGTGTGAGTGAGAGAGAGAGAGAGAGAGAGAGATTGTCCATGTGGATGGGGAAGGGCTCTCCATCCCTTTGTGAACTGGGGTGCTGCCACTTTTCCCCGGGGACCTCTACCAAAGGTACCAAGGCTGCTGCTCTCATCAGCTGCCTCAGATGACAAAATGAGGCTCATGTAAAAAAAAATTCATTTTTTACTTGCACCTTTTAAAAAAAGAATATATTGTAATACTAAAAAAAAAACCCCAACAAACTATTAAAATCCATACCACATACCACCCCTACCCAGTCTAGAAACGTGTGTTGTCTTTCCATGAAGGGACTCGGTGAGGGGTGGGGGGGGGAGGATGGGCACTATTGCCAGCTTATGCCAGCTCTGAGACAGCCAACTGCTGTTTCCAGGAATTCTGCAAGTCAGGTGAGTAGCTTGGATTCAAAGTGTTTGTAATGCAGAAAACCACCAGAGAATTGGCTGTTAACCATCTGCCAGCACACGGGCACAGCACAGAGCAGAGGAGTCAGGGCAGGGAGTCATGCTAAGGGTAGACCCAAAGAAGACCATCCACATTAAGAGAACTAGCAGACCAGGCCAGTCGGATTGGTGTGTGTGTATGTGTGTTTAACCCAGCTGCTCTAATTCAGACCCTCATCTCCAATAGCAGACGATACCAGCAAGGAGCTTAGGGCTCCCAACCTAACAAATTCACATTAGGGTGCATTTCTATACCTCCTGCCCCACACTGGTATCTTCCAAGGGGGAAGGAAGTACACAGGGAGTCTGCCTCTTGGCCTTTCCAACTGCTTTCCCCTCTCTTCTTGGAGAGTGGGTCTGAGGATGGAATTGAAGAATGAGGGTAGAGATGCAGCAGCCCAGTACCCTCCCCACAGACAAAAGTCCTCATTCTCGTATCTCCAAAGTTGACATCGTGGCTTTGTGTATGGTGTGGTGATGTTAATCTTCAGAGCTCTTCTTTCCCTGCTATGTGCCAAAGAAGAGGTGTGAGTACACCTGCCATGAGCATGGACAGGCATGGGATAAGGGGTCAGTAGGAGTTCCCAGGGCCCATGTGTGCATCCTGTTTAGGGGAAGAGGATAGAGGCCAGGGTTCCTGGCAGGTCAGTGCTCTTGTTAAGACAAAAGCCTGCAAGTGGCAGGCGCTAGCTACTCAGGAAGCTGAGATCTGAGGATCATGGTTCAAAGCCAGGCTGGGCAGGAAAGGCCATGAAACTCTTATCTCCAATAAACCACCAGAAAACCAGAAGTGGTGCTATGGCTCAAGTGGTAGAGGACTAGCCTTGGGCTGAAGAGCTGAGGGACCGTGTCCAGGCCCAGAATTCAAGCCCCATGACTGACGACAATATTAATAATAAAAAGCCTGCAAGCATGGACTCAGGCACAGGGGGCCAAGGGGCTCTTTGGGGAGAGGAGGGAGAGGGCAGGGTTGTGGTTTTACAAAGCTGCCAGAGAGAGAGAGAGAGAGAAAAGTTGTGATACATTCTTTATGCAAGCATGTGCTTTCCCCTTCTCAAAGTGGGTACCTCTGCTTAATGAGCCCTTATTCCCTCCCCAGGGAAGGAGAAGAGGGAACCCAAAATGAGTTGTGGGCTAGGCTGTCTGGTTGTCTGTAATCTTGAGACAGGATTTTCTGGGTATCTACTATTGCATTTTTTTTTTTTTTTTGGCAACTGCTCCACTGCTTTGGAGTCCTGGAAGGCTTCAAGACTTCCAACATCCTCAGTCAAAGGAAGCCTTGCAGGTTATTGTAAACCACCCAGCATCAAAGGGTGCTCTTGGAGGAACCTGACATCCATCCCAAATGCATCATCTCTGGGATAGCTGCTTGGGTAAGGGGGAGGGGAGAAGGTGCTCTAGGCCCGATGGAAGTCTCCCCGCTGGCCACCGGTCTTGCTGATGAGCCTGATGTCCCCCACCGTGATGTCCCGGCTGACAGCCTTGCACATGTCATACAGGGTGAGGGCGGCCACAGCAGCGGAGGTCAGCGCCTCCATCTCCACCCCGGTGGGGCCGCGTGCCCGGCAGGATGCCTGGATCACCGCGGCGTGACGTGTGCTGTCCAGCTCCAGCTGGACGTGGACGTGGCTCAGGGCCACGTGGTGGCACAGTGGAATCAGCTGGCTGGTCTGCTTGGCCGCCTGGATCCCGGCCAGCTGTGCTACCATGAGGGCGTCACCCTTCTTCAGCTGGTTTTGCTGGACAAGCTTGAAAGCCACCGGCCCCAGAAGGACCACAGCGGAGGCCACAGCCACGCGGTCTGTGTCTGGCTTCTGGCCCACATCCACCATAGCCGCCCGTCCTTCTGAGTCCACGTGAGTGAGCTTGTCTGAGGTTGACCTGGGTCCTGAAGGGGCAGCAGAAGCCCCGGACCCCGGGTTAAGGCACTTAGAGTTGGTGTCTGAATCTTGGTGGGAGCAATAGCATCTCTGTGGGGATCCGGACCCCACCCGCGGTGGAGCCACAAGGGTCTGTGGGGCTCTGTGTCCTTTCCACAAAGTTGCCATCTGGTTAGGAAAACTCACTCTGGGTGTCAGACCCAGAACATGGAGGGGATCCCGGGAGGAGAGGCTCGAACTGACTGGGGCGGATTCTTGGAGCTTTGAGGACAACCCTGGAAGGCAAGGAGGAGAGGGGAGAGAGACTAAGCCCAAACGGCAATCCGCTCCCCACTTTCCCCATCCATCTCATGTTTTCTCTTTCCCATGGCGGTGGGGGGGGGGGGGGTGGAGGGGGAGAGAACGGAAAGCTTAGCATTTAGGAACAAAATAGAAAACAGACCAAAAATAAACAAGTCAAGTTTGTAGCTCTCTGCCAGTTTCTGAGATGCAGGGTCACTTCTAGGCCCACCCCCACACATGAACTTTGGTCTCCAAAGTTCTATGAAGCACAGCCTGAAGGCTTGGATCAAAAAACCTCTCAATGTCTCTTCATTTTTTTTTTGGGGGGGGGGGGGGGAAGGGGGTCTGTTTTTAGCTAGAGCTGGATCTCACCTTGAATAACCAACTATTCATTCATCTTTACATTCTTTAAAAGGGAGAGTTGGCAATCATGTCCTTTACAGACCAGACAGGAGATGAAATACTTCATCTGCTTAATAATGTCTGCAGAGGTTCCTGCAGCCACTCCCGGCCCCCCCTTCCCCCCCCCCCCCCTCCCCCGCCCACAGTGTACACACACACTGACAGGCCCATTGTGATGGCCCAGGCTGGTGTTACTTAGAGGTTGGTCCAAGGACCAACCAGCATCCTCTGAATGCATCTCATCCTGTCCTTCATGAATCTCAAACCCCAAGTGGTTCAGACACCCAGAAAAGTCAGGGGATCCTGTCCTTCGCAACTCTTCTTTTACGGAAGGCAGATAGGTAGAGATTCTGAGGACATGAATGGTGTCCTAGCCTCTAGCTTCCAACATCCTGAGACCCCGGCTTGTCCAAGTCAGAAGTCTATCTTCCCTTCTACAGGGGCCTTAAGGCCCCCCCCGCCCCGTGCCTGGCCACAATGGTACTTCAGCATGGGTGAAGACCCAGCCAGATGACCACAGTGCTGGAGGTTGGGGAGAAGGGAGATGGCCAGATTTCTTCCCACAGTCTTGCTTCCCTTGTCCTGCTCCGGGTGGCTGGCGGGCTGAGTGGCCCCTGGACTATCTCTGGCTCACCCCAGCCTGCTTTCCTCCAGACCACCGGGCTCCCTCTGTACCCACCTCTGGAGAAGAGAGCCCTCTCCTCCAGTTTTGTTCAGTGCGTTCTCTTGTCTAGGATTCTAATTCAGGGGGCCTAGATCTGGCCCAGGGGTTGAGGCCTCTCCTGCTTGACTCTAGGCATTGTGCAGAGGAGTGGGGTAAGGAGCCCCTCCAGCAGTTTACAAACAGGCATTTTCATTTAGCGCATCCTACACTCATCAGACGTGTCCTGTATGCGCACGCGTCCTGGAGTTAGGAAACTGGACACTGGGATTTGGGCCATCTCCTCGCTCAAACCATGAGTGCAATTATCAGCTATCTGTGTCAAGTTGTACCTGGTCCAGATGCTAACAATACACCAACTATCAGGATCCACACACAGCACGTGCTCAAGACCACTGCAGACCAGAGGGGAAGAGATACCTGTGACTGGCTGTCAGCGGGGAGACGCCGGCGCTGAAGTTAAAGCGCTGCTTTAACCAGGAGCTCAATTCTTAGGAAACAGCTAACTTGTGCAATCATCAAGTCTGGAGACCCCCCCCCCTTTCTGCACATACCCCCACTATCTGGAGAGGGAGGAAAATGGTCGATTCTGGGGGCATGAAGACCAGAGGAGTTGAGGACAGGAAAGAGAAGCAATAGTACAGGCTTAAAGGGACAAGAAAAGACGAAAGAGAAAGAGAAGAAAAGCAAGGGTGAGAACACCAAGATGTGATGCGGGAGCTCAGTGCCTGAACCCCATCCCTCAGGAACTCCCACCCCCCGCACCCCGCTACACACACATGACAAGGGCGGGTGGTTACGTACTGCTGGGTCACCCACCGATGAGGATCATGGGCCGGTTCTTCATCTGGGCAATATTGAACATGCCTGGGGAGAGGGAGAGATGGGGGAGACAGGGAGAGGTGGGGGAGCAGAGTTCACAGAAACGCCTAGCCACTGGCACCCTGACAAAAGCCCCGGCCCACACATCAGTGTGAGGTCACCGGAAAGCAGCTGGGGGGGAGGGAAGGGCTCTGTCTTTCTTACCAATGGCAATGTGTGCACAGTGACACCCCTCTCTCTGAGTTCAATAAAATAGCCCAAGAGGATTTCAGGGAGGGACCTTGCTTCTCCCAGGTCAGTTACCCACAAAGGGGGGCTAGGATGGCACCCCAGGTCCAGAGCTCCAACAGGGGCGAGGCAACAGCAACACTCGGACCCACCTGGCCCACTTCCTCTGGTCTGTCTTCTCCCTCCCTCCCTCCAGACCCCAACCCTGCTGACGATGACACCCTCGCCATCCTACCCCACCCTTACCTGCGTGCTGCCTCTTCTTCCTGCCCACAGCTGCCCCTATGATGCTCAGAAGCTCCTCCTCCGAGGCCCCTGCCCGCAGGTGGTCCCGCAGGGATACCTCCGAGTTCCCAAAGAGGCAGACCTGTGTGTGGGGTGAGGACGGCATGCCTCCACCATCTGAGCCTCCACCTCCCAGCCTCTGAGCAGTTACCCCAGAGCACCCCCCCCGCCTCCTCCAAGCTTAGCATCAGTACCAGCCCCCTAAAAACCCCCAGAAGGATCCTGAACCTGAAGGATGGAGAAGCAGCAAAA